ACAGCAATCATGAATTATGAGGCCAATTTAGTCGATTCAAATCATATTTGAACACACATGTCAGTCCAACACCAAACACAATCTGTGCAGTGCAGCGCTGCTTTTTATATCACTCTGATCATCTTTTTATTAACGTCGTCTCTGCTTTAGTGGGAACAGTGGCTTTTCATCTTTGAATTGCATAAACCGTTGACGCGGGGCGCACTCCTCGCTTGTGAAATATCTGAAGACAAAACTAAGAATTCAAGAACAAGACAGATTTTTCCTGTGATGTGCTGGAGAGTGTTGTTACGGGTACTTGCAGTGTTCAGTCATAGCTTGTTAACAGTAGACTAAAGTGTTTATTCTTTTGTACATATTTTGGCTGAAATAAACACAAAGGTGATGAGTTGTTCCGCCTGTAATAGAGATGGGAACGCTCCGATCTTTATATTGGTATCTGGTCTGATATTGAAGTAATTTAATTTAGTAATTTAAAATGTGTTTCTTTCTTATTAGAGGTGCCAGAATGAGCTCATTGTAGCAGCCGTTCAGTTCAATATTTAATGTTGAGCTTTTAAAATTGAAACTGTCCCTTTCGTTGTCCCAATCTTCCTCAGTCCAGTCGTATGTGGAAGAAGAGGAGCCCAGAAGGAAGGCCAACCTCTATGAGGACCTGAGGCTGAAGAACAGGGAGAACTACGAGGTGACGCTCACTCAGAAGGCCGAGACGCTGCTCCAAACATCACCTGCGAATGAGCCAAAAAGACCCAAGAAAGAGTGTAAGCTCCCAATGCAGAGGCTTGTACCTGTTGTGTTCCTAACAGTAAACAAATCTGTGAAAGACTGACTGAACTCTCTTTTATGTTACAGCAAAGAACATCTATGGAGACACCTGGGAAGAATGAGCCCACGTTAAAATTGAGTATCTAATGTTTCTCTGACATCACGGTCTCTGCAGGACTGCTGGCATCTCGACGGCCATTTGCTGTTTGTTTTTTTTACAAGTGTGACTAACCTTGTATGAGTTTTTGTTCCCTGTGTTTCTGAAACAGAAGTAATAAAACGTGTCTGCACTTCATCTTAATATTAATTACCTAATACCCTGAAGTCTGCCAAGGAGCCGTGTCGGACCATGTGTTTCACATCATGAAAGTCTGATGGTTAAGAGAATGCAGGATGAGATTTTCATTAGTGAACTCCACTTACAGCGAAGATCAGCAGAGCGATAAAAGGTACCGCTTTGTCCACAAGGGTCGCCAGGGTCACCAGTTCCTCACAGTAGCTTTATTATAAGACCACAACTTACAAGCATACAAGAAAACGTACTCTCAAGGAGTGTGTGTGTTGAAAGAGATTGGTGTTCACTCATAAATCCATGATGTGAGTAAAACGAATCATCTTTGGTCATCAGTATGAAAGTGGAGCTTGAGTTTTCTGCTTCTCAATTGAGACATTACAAAGATTTTAAAGTTGCAAACTGAAAAGAAACGTTCAGTTTTGGAGTGCAAAACTTTGTTTAAGGCTCTGCGTCATGGTCAAATATGTTCAGAAGATGTATTTAAGGTCACAATTTAATCAGCTAGATGTTAAAAGGACATGAGCTTCTATATCGCTCTTCTTGTGTTTTTACACGGCAGGTCACACCTACACATTCACAAACTGGTGCTGTGTAAAGTGACCATCACAAGTAACTAGCTATTCGTTCACATTCATACACCACCGACGAAACGTTTGAGTTTGGAATATTCAATAACTCAAGATATCTTAGGGACGCTGGTAGCCTAGTGGTTAGTGTGCGAGTCTCATGTACAGAGAATGTAGTTCTTAGGAAGCCCCGGTTAGAATCGTTCCTATGGCCTCTAAATAAAGGCATAACAAGCCAAACAATAAACCTTCAATAAAATAATACATTTAATGTTATTATGCACATATTTTGATATTGAAAACAAACTTGTTTGCTTATGTTTGAAGTTTTTATTTTTTTACTAGAATAACTCAAATTGATAAAAAAAAAAGTCACCCACAGCATTAAAACATTCAAATGTCATTGAATAACACAGGAAGGCAGACAGACACCTGCCATATAAACAGAATAACTACATGTACAAGCTTTTGACTTTGTAGCAGACACAGTCCAATAAAAGACATGTGCTGCACGTTTAACAGAAAAAAAAAAAAAAAGGTTAAATTTGAAGGCTCATCTGTTAGTAAACAATGTCTTTAATAAGCAAGTCTATGGGTGCCCATGACTATGGCTATGGTTGCAGCTGTGTCCAAAACTCTGCTCTGGACCAAGTCCGTGACTTATCCCAGAGCTATGTGCAGAGCCATGTTGATGGGGATGGAGAGGCGGTGCGTGGCTGGACAGATCACCGGTCAAATTTGGCCAGCCTTCGTAAAACTTGGCGGCGGTGTCTGCAGTGTGAGTGCTGGACAGCGGAGCATACGCCTGGACCGGGTAGGACCCAGGTGTCGGGTTGATTTGTGGAAGGAGTGTCTTCCTCCGCTCTTCTGTGGAAGCAGGGACAAACATATCCCCGCCTACGCTCCTCAAAAACCTGAACGGCATCATCTTCTCCAGGGCGCCAGCCTTGGCCTCAGATAAGTCCAGGAGAGCGAACCACCTTTTCCCATACAGCCAACCAACCAGGACGGCTATGACATTACAGGGGAGCACGCTGTGAGGAATGAGGGCAGTGGTGATCATCAGTAACACCCAGGGGAGAGCAATGGTGGGGAAACTGACCCCACACAGGAACCCTTTGGTCATTTTCGTGTGCATGGTAGTTAGAGCCACACAAGCCAGGGCCACAGGGAGAAAGCCCTCGGTGTGACTTTGGCTGCTGTCGCTCTGCAGGAGGTCCAGGAAGCTGTAAAACACACCTGTGGTGCTCGACATCAGGAGGAACAAGAAGAGGAAACGCACAGTGCCAAAACCTTTCTCCAGGCTGCCACTGAGAAACACCAGAACTGTGATGTTCAGAAGGAGCTGAGCAAAGGTCCTGTGGTGAAAGGGGTACAGCAACAGCCTGTGAATGTGTCCACTCAGAAAAACTGTGTTGCCAACACTTAGGACCCCCGGGGTGAAGCTGAAATAGTTTGGATTCCAAACAAAACACAGGATAAAAGTACCACTGTTAGCACCCCCACTGAGACGACGGGAATAAAGTCTTTAAAAGCTTGAAAGATCATTTTAAAGTAATTCAGCTTTACTCATCTAAAGAAAAAGTGAACCAGAATATAAGCACGAAAACCGACCGTGCTCTACAATCGTCCTAAACACGAGCATTATTCCCTTTGTGAGCTGATTAATGTAGGCTTCCCGGCTGAAGTAATGTTAGGACTCAGAAATCACAATGGGACGGTTGTGAGTAACTCGTTGTATCCGGAAATAAAGACAGTTGTAAACGCTGGCTGGCATGCGTGCTAAAAGATCACTTGTGGTCGAACATTTCAAAATAAAATGTGTTGACTCAGAGTGGTACAGTTTTTTTGGAGTCGTATTTAACTATCTCAACGTAACTCAATGTATTTAAGCCATTTTTTATTTCTGTATGTAGAACCTCTCAAATACCTGGATATTTTCGCTAAAGGGGAGGCTGAGTGTCCCGGTGCATGTTGTAGTTTGAAGGAGAGTCTTTTTAACATCCGGTTTAGCTTGTTCTCCGTCGTTCTTCTTTCATTGGTTACACATGACTGCTTTAATTAATTAATTACCGACTTCCACCCATAGACTGTAAAAATAACCCAATCTAATTACCACAAAATAATACCGCTGAGTTTTTTATATAATTTATAATTTAATATTCCGGTAAGACAAGCCAGTGTTTTATTCCACTGTTTAAAAACGTAACAAACTGAACAACAACATTAAAATGCAGAATGATAAATATTTACACACCATTTAAAGTCCAAACAAACAAGTTGATTTATATTAACTACTAGAGGCTACTTAAATACTTCTGGACATTAGCAGGTTTATTTAAACTGTATATTATATCAGATAAGTTGTGAATACATTCCAAAAAAAGTTATGAATTCATGTAGAAAACTTTGATCCAATGACTTGGTGTGTATTTTGAATTGCTATGGATGATTCAGACTTTTCACAGCTGTTAGAAGTAAAAAAAAAAAAAAAAAAAAAGGTTAAATGAAAAATAAATACACACAGACAATGTGATTAATTTCATGACATTGAAACCTCATATTTAATTCAAAATAGTACAAAACATCATAACAAATGTTGAAACTGAGATTTGACATTCTTTTGGGAAATTATTAATTAATTGTTTTTTTTTTTTATTAAATGGTAGCAACACATTTAAAAAAGTTGGGACAGGCTCAGGTTTATCTTTTTGTTGCATCACAGTACAGTGGAATAGTTTGGGAATTTAAGGGAACAATTGCTGCTATTTTGAAAGTGTAGTGTTTTACAAATCTTGCGAGATTTTATAATTTCCCAGAAGAATGCCAAATCTCAGTTTCAACATTTGTTATGATGTTTTGTACTATTTTCAATTAAATATGAGGTTTAAAGGTTATGAAACTAATCACATTGTCTGTGTGTGTTTATTTTTTATTTAACCTTTTTCATTTTATCCTACCCATTCTACCCACTTTTTCATTTTTACTCCTAACTCTAGGATTTAAACTTATCAGCTGTTTAAGGTCTCCTTTCAAAATAAAATCAAAATGGGTTTATAAATGTCAACGAACACATTTAATTTCTTATTTTAAAGATTTGCTATGTTGTATTTGTGCTATTTTGTGCAATTAAATATGGGATTCCGATGTTAAATCATCACATCTTATTTCACACGACGTCCCAACTTTTTTGGAAACGGGGTGTCTCATCTGAATATATATCTTTTAATAAAATTACACACACAAAAATGTTTTTGGCATTTTATTAACCCCATAAGTAAAAAGATAAGTTATCAGTTTTAAATAAAATTATTTTTATTGTCGGCTTCAAAAAAAAAAAAAAAAACGCGAGCCAGTTCCGGTGTCTTCCGGTTACTGCGGCGGATGTTGATGTTTTGTTTCTCGCTGAACGATGTGAACTGTATCGTCTCCGGGACGGGTTGATATTTTCTGTCGTTGTCTTCTCCGCTTTTACTTTGTCCCCCCCCCCCTGGTTTTTTTTCCCTCGGTGAGGTTTCACCGCCCGTCGGCATCGTGTCTCTCCCGGTGTCTCTCCCGGGAAGCGCGAGGCCAAGTCGTGCGATGATGGAGGATTTTGACGAGATCTACGAAGAGGAGGAGGAGGAAGAGGAGGACGAGGACAGGGCCGCGGAGGAACAGCTCCTTAAGTACGCTCCGGACCCGGTTGTGGTGCGAGGGTCCGGCCACGTCACTGTGTAAGCATCGAGCGACGCTAACGGTTGGGTTGGGGGGGGGGGGAAACCCCGTGTATCTGAAATGACTGGTAACCCCGGTAACAGTGGAAAGTTAGCCAACGCTAGTGACCTAGGGCAGCGAGCTAGCTGTTAAGTTAGCACAACGAGCTAACTCTTTTAACAGTGTTTGAGTGGCTGCACAGCTTTCGTTTTAGCGTCACAGCATAACTTTATAAACGTGTACATCCTGTTTATCTTCAACGAAACGTGATGTTGCTGTTTTGCTCGCTGTTTTGAAGGCAAGACACTTCAACCACATTGTGAACACATTTTTTTTTTTTTGAAAGTTATGAATTCATGTAGAAAACTTTGATCCAGTGACTTGGTGTGTATTTTTGAATTGCTATGGATGATTCAGACTTTTCACACGCTGTTAGAAGTAGAAGAAAAAAGAAAAGAAAAGAAAAGAAAAAGGTTAAATAAAAAATAATCACACACAGACAATCAAATCAAATCAAACTTTATTTATGTAGCGCTTTAAACACAACATTGATTGATCCAAAGTGCTGAACATTGCAGAAACAAAGCATTAAACAGTAATATAAAAGAATAACAACAATTAAAAAAAAACAGTTTGCTGAACATTAAAAGCAGTGATTGTTACTCGTGATTAGTTTCATGACATTGAAACCTCATATTTAATTGAAAATAGTACAAAACATCATAACAAATGTTGAAACTGAGATTTGACATTCTTTAGGGAAATTACATTTTTTTCTTTAATTTTCTTTTGGGAAATTAAGTATTTGGGGGACTTAATGCACAGGATCACACTCCCGTGATCAAATCAGCTGAACCGTGCATACAAACTGAGTAATCCGTGCCTATACTAGATTGTACCATAAATGATCTTGTTCAGTCTTCTTGCAGTCACACAATAACATGCTTATTACTAATTTATTTGATTTATTTATATTTTTTTATTTGTCAATTTTATTTCATAAAAAAAACCAATAAAGTTAAGAAAAACAAACAAACATAAAATCTCAAATTTTAAATGAAAAGGAGCAGAAAGAAGATTAATTTTATAATATCTGCCCCTCTTTTACAAAACATTAATTCATTAAAACAGAACACTTCATTCAAAAACAATTTAAATTAAATTAAATTGGCTGCAGGCAAACACAGCCACTGGCAATGGAACTGTTGTAGCAGTAGGAACCAAAGTTACTGGATGTTTTGTTATATCCCGTCAGATAAGGAGTTGCATACAGATCATTAGCTACAGACTGCAGCAGTGTGACGCTGGAGTCCATGTTTCATACATCTTAATCGACACTGTTCGACAAAGTACATAACTTCATCACTTGAGTCAAAGTACAAAGTATTTGGTCCTGGTCAAATATGACTCCAACACAAGGGGAAGTTTCTCAGTCATATTATTACTTTAAGTTCTTGCTTTTAAAAAATACTTTGATATTCAAACTACTTTTTTAAAATAAGAATCTCATACTTTGTTGTATTTTCACAATGCAGTCAAGAATACAAGGTTGTACATTGAGCTAGAGAACATGTTTTAAACTCACATGCTACAGATTTGCAGCTCCTGAATAATCAGATTAATATTATGTGAAAAACACGCAGTGAGCAAACATTTAAAAGATATAAACAGCCAATTCAGTAGATGCAAGGCCTCTTGATCTGCTGCAGCGTATTGTCATTCCTGGTGCTGCTAACGCTCCCTTTGCTTTTTTCACTTCTGTTCAGCAGTGTTAGCCGTCACCGTGTATTTTGTCTCCACTACATTTGTACTTTCATAGTTACGTAGTGGAGTTAAAAGTAAAATATTTGTCTTTCAAAGTGACGGAGTAAAGTGAAAAGTGTTCCCCCCAAAAAATGAATACTCAAGTGACGTGCAGATACTTAAAAAATGAACTTAAGAACAGTACTCCAGTAAGTCTTTGTTATTGTCCACCACTGGTGTAAGTTTCCTCTTGCTTCCCTTTCTCACAGAGTTCTAAACTTTATCTTATGTTAGTGTAATTTTTTATTCCTGTTAGATAAATTAGCGCACACAGTTACACTCGTGATTAATGCAAAACAGAATAATCCACAGCATCTATTTGGTTGCGGGGGATCTAAATTAGCGGCCTCTCCAGGGATATCACCTAGGCTTTACATGACTTTACATCATTACTGACACCTCTCTTATATTTTATGCAGGTTACTCTTTGGATATTATTATAATATGTGAAAAAGGTGAAAAAAAAGAGGGCGCATGCAAGTTTAATCTTGTGCAAAATTCAATTTGACCATAATGATAAACCCCTGATACCTGCTTGACCCCACAGTTTCACCTGTGTTTGGGTCAAATGTTACTCCAAGGAAGATCTTAAATGTTAATAAATATAGAAGTACATTTGTTAGATTTGATGCCTTTTGGTAAGCTGTAGTTGATTTAAACGGCATTATGCATACATTGTGTATTTCTGATTATAACAGTATTTACTCTCCTCTACAGGTTTGGTTTGAGTAACAAATTTGAGTCAGAATTTCCTTCAGCACTTACGGGAAAGGTGAGTGTCTTGTTCTTAATATACATTCATTATGTCAAAATTAATTAAAGAATTCTATTATTTTCTTTTTGTTATATTCAAACATGTTTTGTTGATGCACTCAGTCACGTGATCATCAATGTTCAACAGATTGTAAAAAAAAAAAAAGTCCCTCATGCCATTCATCACCTTTAAATATGTCTATCACCTATACCTGATATGTGCACGTCCTCAGGTAGCACCAGAGGAATTCAAAGCCAGTATCAACCGTGTGAACAGCTGCCTGAAGAAGACGCTGCCTGTGAATGTGCGGTGGCTTCTGTGTGGCTGCCTCTGCTGCTGTTGCACGCTGGGCTTCAGTTTGTGGCCTGTCATCTGCCTCAGCAAGAGGGTGAGACACACATCCATGGTGTATTTAAAGCATCATCATCACAATGACACGTATCGACAGGGGACTCATTGAAAGGTCGCTGTGTTTCGGGGGCGGCTGTGAAAAGAATATCATCTGATGTCACTGTTTCCTTTCAGACAAGAAGATCATTAGAGAAGCTTCTGGAGTGGGAAAATAGCAGACTTTACCACAAGGTGAGGAGTGACAGCATGAAGGAAATGAGCATTAGTAGTATTGTTTGGCCTTGTCATTTAAATAATCTGACACTATTTCAATGGTTGCAGTTGTGTTTGCATTGGAGACTAAGCAAAAGGAAGTGTGAAACCAACAACATGATGGAATATGTAAGTACTCTACTTGTTCTGGGCCGATTGGTCCAAGATGTTCAGGCCTGATTTTTCCTTCCCATTCATTTAGATACTTCAGGTTGATCACAGCCAGATCCAAAAACACCCAATTTTTAAATCCCTGTCCTTTTTTAAGGTCTCACTTAGAGGCCTCTTCAGTATTTAGTGTTGATCCGTTTGCAGGTCAAATATATATTACCAAGAGTGTCTCCCTCTCTCTCCCCACAGAGCAGCAGGTTGGTATAGATGGGCTGTCTTACAATGTAAGATCAAAATCAGTGATTTGAGTTTGTTTATCGATATCCTCATTTTGAGTTCAATATTCTTTCTGGTGTAAATTTTCAATTTTGTAATCGTTCCCATCTTTACTCTGCACAAGTTTTGTTTAAAAAATAATTAAATGCTCGTCTCGTATTGCCTGTCTCAAATAAAGGCAGGGTCATTTTATAAATTGGACTAAAGTTAATAAAATCCTGGACTATTAGTTGTCGAGTTTTAGGGTACATTTATTTCTTACATCCTGGATACAACTTACTTAGTGTTGACGAACTGTGTACATTAAGGACAACTTAGCAGGAAGCTCTCAGAAATACTCTGAAGTAACGAAATCAAAAGCTCTGCCTGCAGCCGTTCAGCTACCATGCGTCACTAGGAGCATTGGAACAAATCAGTGTTTTAACTTAGAGCTGCTTTATTCAGTGCTTTACTCATTTATAATCAGTGAGTGTGTTAATTTGGAAAGCTGGAGACTGCTGTGTATACACTGGCTCGTATTAGCAGAATTAATTTAGTTGTCTCATTAAAAATTTATGAAGACTCTGTGTTCTTCTTCAAAGTGTAAATACCAGGGTGAACAAGGCCTTTAAAAGTATACTCAAACATCTTCTTTATTCAGAAAAGAGCTGGGTGATAAATCTTTCATCACAGTGCATGGGTCAGACACTGCACTGTATACTGTGTCTGAGTGTAATGTGTGAAAAATCAATGAAGAAATTGGTTAGAGATACTTTTTTCTCAGCCACTGGCGGTCTCTTAATCTAAAATATAACTAAGGAACTTACAGTATATGTTGGTTCTGATACCATCATATTGCATTTATGTTACTATATATCCATTGGTGCTCGTGGTGCAATGGATCACAGTGGATTGATGATCACCCCACTCGTGATCTGAGGATGGATAAAAGAGTTAATATGGACATGTAGTGCATGTAGACACAATAGAGATCCAATGTGATAGTAGGGTGACAACTCAGTCTTTAAATGTCACATATTATCCCCCGTTTCAACAGGTCAAGTCTCAGAGCGCCCCACAACATGTCTGTTTCTTGTTCTAAATCCACTCTGATCTTGTATTTGATCATGCCTATAAACCCCTCTATTTCAGCCCTGCTCAGAACAGGTTGTTTCTGTGTCTGTAGCTTCAAATGTAAATGAGCTGTGTCTGACCACGCCCCCTCTCTGGAAGGGCTTGGGTGGCTCGGGCTTTCTCGCTCCATGCCCTATTGTTTACGGTGAGAAAGCAGTCTCAAGAGGGCAGAACAAACACCTAGCTGTGGGAGTGTCACCCACCTGGGGGAGGGGCTACTGCCCTTTGTGATGTCATGAAGGGAAAACCTCCAAACGGCCTGTTTGAGCACACATTTTCTGAAAAGTGGAGCAGGGAAAAGATGGAGAGGACGGACTTTTCTGTATAGACAGACTAGATACATATATAATTTATAATTAACACAGTTAAATATATTTAGCATAATGTGTGGCCTTTAAAAGTTTTTATCGTGCAAGTATCAGCTGGAGGTTACCTGTGACAACAGTCAGTCAGTTAACATTATTAAAATGACCCTTCAGCCCACTGTACTGTAGCTTTAAATTCAGCCAATTCATTTCTTCTGTGATATAATTTAAAATGTAAAACAATTGGATGTCTTATTATTGAACAGCATCAGCTTACAGACAACACCGACACAATTTTTGGGGTGTTTGGAAGTTTTTGAGATATTTTGATTAAGCGGTATGTATTGTTCAGATGTTTTTAGACATTTTGACATGGAAATGTTACATGTTATACCTTTTAATTGGCAGTGCTGCTTGCTGTGACTAAATATGCCTGGAGTTTCTTTGGTAGAAAAAGCTGAACAGCAGAACCTCACAGTAATAGTTTTTTTTTTCTCTCATCCCCTGCAGGTAATCCTAATAGAGTTCTTACCTAAGATCCCCATCTTCAGACCGGACTAGCCCGACTCTGGCTGATCCTAAATCTCTATCGCTGCCCACATTGGCTGTCAAGCTCCTGAATAGATTACCCACCTCCAAATACTCCAGGATTTTTGTTTACAGGGTAGCATTGATCCTCCCAAGACCTGCAACATTTACTTCCTCCACACCCTTGTTTACAACTCCAGTATCCTAACGCTTTTTGGACTGTCTTCACCACAAGCTATTTGGTAAACTGGCTCACCGTCCGGCCATGCTAACCACCAGCAGCCTGTGGGATGTCCGTGGAGAACCAGCCTGGGGGCACTTTGAATCTAAAGACAGAGAAAGGACTCTGAAAAATGGACTTCAATGAGCTACAACTGGAATACTGTCACTTGTTTGTTCCCTTCCCTAAACACATGGCACAATCAGACCATGATGAAACGAACACCTTCTGACACACAGAGTTCACCTGCATAAAAAAAAAAAAAAATGACACCACTGTGCTATTGTAACAGCTGGTTTGGAGCTCTGGATCATTACTGGAGTCTGTGGAGGCAAAACAACATAGAACTCAGAAGGAACCTTCATCCAAACCAACCCTGCAGCTGACAGAGAGTCGCACAGGAACATGTTGGGACAGCTGAACTCAATATTGTCATTCTCCACATCACCCTGAACATCCTTATGCTCTGTCCTCTTTTCATATCTCTGCACACTTCACCGTGCATCACCAAGTGACAATCACACTCTCTGACTGTTCTCTACGTATGTGTGAATGGGGCTTTATGCTACACACTTCATATTTTTGTTTCAACATTACCTGTATCCAGGCTACCTGGTAAGTGCTACTGAGTCGCAGTGGAACAAGTGAAAAGAAGGCCAAGAGAAGAAAACCTTTTTTTCTTTTCTTTTTTTGAAGTATTGTGAGTTTCATTCACTGTGTGTGTGTGTGTGTGTGTGTGTGTGTGTGTGTGTGTGTGTGTGTGTGTGTGTGTGTGTGTGTGTGTGTGTGTGTGTGTGTGTGTGTGTGTGTGTGTGTGTGTGTGTGTGTGTGTGTGTGTGTGTGTGTGTGTGTGTGTGTGTGTGTGTGTGTGTGTGTGTGTGTGAGACAGAGTGAGTGACAGAAACAAGCAAAAAAAAAAACGAGACAAATCAGATAGGAGATGAATCTTCACTCTTTGAAGCAGGGGGATTTCTTTTACCCGTCACTTTGCCATAACAAGTCTTCGTTTTTTTGTTGTAGTAATTTATACATGTGAGTGCACTATATGGAATATTTGCATTCCTGACACAGGCCTCGTTCTTTTCTTCTTCTGTTTTTTATTTCTTTTTTTTTTTACTTGAGATATGCCATGTTTGTTTCTTTATTGACTTCTATGGTCGTGTCAACACTAAAGCACACAATCGCTTTGTCCTTAACAGCTTCTCATGGCCTCTTATTTCTTATCTGCTGACCTTGACGTATCCACACATGACTCATGAAGTCACAGATATTACCCTTATAACAGATTCGCTCTCTTTAATATGATCATACTCACTGGGTTCACAGGTCTGTGTGACCTAGTGGGCTAGGCTTTACATAATACAAGGGTTCTGTATCATAAAGCAAGATAACTGAAGTCAACTTGTTAGCTGAATTAAAAAAAAAAAAAAAAAGTACCTAACCCTAACCCTGTGATAAGTATTTCTACATACAAAATGTAGCATTGAAAAGTGTCAGGTTAATGTTCAGAAGTTAAGCCATGGGGTCGACTTTATGGCCAGGGTCACACATTACTTGAAAGACTGTAAAGTGATGCATTTGGAAAAAAATAATACTCCTTAGGATAAGAGAACTAAGTCTGATGTTTTCCCATAAAAGAGTCAAAGATGCGCACACACACAAGCCACAGATTCACAAGGCTCACACATCGTGTTGGTTTGGACCCACATTCACTTGATCACCACTGGGTTGCCTAGTGGCTCATCAGTCACCTTTCTATACTTTTGGTCGTTGTGTGCTCTGTGTAAATCAAGGCATGAGGCCATACGCAGGTTTGTGTGTGTGAGAATGTGTGAGGTGTACGTAGATGCAAATGTCCTTCATAGATCTCAGACTGTGATTGAACCCTGCACAGAGAATGAGTCCTTTTTTATATAATCTGAAGTGTGTGTGTGTGTGTGTGTGTGTGTGTGTGATAGAATGATATATGTACATATGACTCCTGAGCAGGTGTATGTACAGTAATAAACTACCAATAAACAAGGCTATGGGCATCCTCCTCTGTAACTTAGTGTGGTTTTTAATTCACTTTTTCTGCTTGTTTACAGAAAGTGTATGATGATTATGAATGAAAGAAATCAAAAGTGATAAATATTGTTCAGTTGCAGAAGATGTTTGTTCCCCACTAGGATGCTATTAACTCCTGGAGTACTGCACACAAATGAATTAAAACAAAGTTAACCTTGGAGGTCTGTAGTCTTTATCTCACCTGGGACGAGCACCCTTATCTCTGTCAGTAAGAGGGGGTGGATGGTGTTAAAGGAGCTTGAGAAATCAAAGAATACGATTCTCAGCAAGCTGCTCCCCTCTGGATGAGAGTAAGCTCAGTGTAGCAGATAGAGGATGGCATCCTCCAAGCACATCTTCACCTGGTATGCGAACTCCAGTGGATCCTGTGTACGGTGGACCTGGGGTCTGAGAAGGTGGAGCAGCAGCCGTTCAAAGGTCTTCATGACGTGGGCAAGTCGGTGCAACTGATCTGAAGTCACCTGGCTCACTGGGGTGTTTCTTCTTGGGACTTCAGAGCATAGGGACCCTGCCTAGCTGCAAGCTCAGGTTATGCACATGCTGAAGCGTTCATTGATCAATCAATCCATCTTTATTTGTATAGCACCAATTCATAACACATTTTTTACAAAGAGCATGTAAAAGACTGCACTCTTTGTTATATTATCTACAAAGAACCTACACCAATCCATCATGAGCACCAAGCATCATTTAGCAAAGTTAGAGTGGCTAGGACTCTCTTCAGAGGCAGAATCCTCAGTAGAACTGGACTCATGATGAACAGCCATCTGCTGAAAATGTGTTGGGTACATGAGAAAGATGCTCAGCAACCCATGAGTTAGTTAACTGTGCAACCTAGTTTTAAACCAATCAACAATTTGTGCAATCCATGTGTGCAATACTGATACTGAACTGGATAACGTTGTCTTTATTGAGCCTAATGTACAAATACATGTACTCTGTGAGGTATTTCCTAAACCCTTTGTGCTTTTGTACTTTTGTAGTTATAGATTTATTTCTTCAAATATTTATTTCAGCAATTTTGATTTATTGATTTATTTTTAATTTGTATTTTTTTTTTTTTTTTTTTTTTTTACTCTATTTCCGTTCTTCCATTATTTCTTACTGCTATATTGTGTACACGAGCAATTGTAAAAACCAAATTCCCCCAGAGGATAAATAAAGTATTCCTGATTCTGGGGCGGCAGTGGTAGAGCCGGCCATCTCTCAACCAGAAGGTTAAGAGTTCGATCCCCAGCCCCTGCAGCCACATGTCCAATGTGCCCTTGGGCAACACACTTAACCCCAAGGTCCTCCCGCTGCTTCGTTGGCGGTGTATGAATGTGCATGGAAAGGGAATAGTTAATGCTGATTGACACTTTACATAGAGCCTCTGCCATTAGTGTGTGAATGTGAAGGTGTGACCTGCAGTGTAAAAGCGCTTTATTAGTATTCTGACTACTCAAAGCCCTTTTACACTGCAGGTCACCAAATAAATACACATTCTGTGTCCTGCTTGTCTCGTTTGCATTTGTAGGATATTCAGAGGCATCACTGTTATTTCCAGTCTGTTTCATAACCAGTTGTGTTGAGCTGACGACCAGGGGCGTGTTCAGACTTCTTGAACTGGGGTGGCCCAACTGGGGTGGCCCAACTGGGGCGCTGACATGTGCAGGGGTGGCCTGAAGTTTGTGTTCACACATACCCCTTCTGTCTGCACTAATCATATCGGCTTTTGAGCAACACAAGATAATGGCAACACACTGTATACATCTTCTTCAAGGACTCAAAACAAATATGTATGTCTAAAGTCCCAATTTAAAGTATTTTAAAACAATTACAAACAAACCTCTGCACACCGAAAACTTTGAGCTGCCTGTTGCAACACAGTCTGAATAGTAGATTTCAACATAAGTTCCACCTCTGCCAAGGAAAATAGCCACCATAAAGCTCCTGGGTGGCCAATACGATTTCATGGGGGTCCATCTGGTGAGATATTGTAGGAGTTAAGACATTACTGTAAACAAACAGGACATACACAAATTGATTCAGTAATCTTTATTGACTGAATTCTCACAGTTCCTGTACATTTAGTCCCTATTTTGAATAAACTCAGTCATCATTTTGACAAATTCTTCCTGTCTTACAAGCTTATACAACTGTTCCATTGATTTAAGGTTCTCTGTGAGATCCGGTTCTGGAGAAAGAGGCTCTGGGCAAATACCTGTAAGAAATCAAAGTGTGAATTCATACCAGTCAGTTTATAGAAGGATTGTGAGCAGCACGATTAAGTGGTACCTGCGCATCTAACATGCTTCTTCTCAGTTAGCTCAAATCAGAAGAAATCTGTAGACCTGTATGTTATCTGTATGTCATATAAGGTGTTATATAAGGTATAAAAAAAAAACTGCAGGTGTATTCAAACCTTTGTCGAAGTTCAGGCTAAACGGCTGCCCTAAGTTTAGACATGCTGCCTGCTTCTGTAACTCTTCCATCTCTGCAGCAGTCACATTTTGTCTCTTACCTAAGAGACAAAAGATATCAATGATGTTTATCCTACAACTATAAAATAGTAGTAGTATATAGTTTGCAGTAGTATACAGTAGCAGTGGTATACAGTAGTATATAGAAAAAGTAGTATATACATATAGCAGCAGTGGTATAGTAGAAGTAGAATAAATATAGTAGCAGTGGTATATAGCAGAAGTAATATATAGTAGCAGTGGTTTATAGTAGCAGTAGTATGCAGTAGCAGTGGTATAGTAGCAGTGGTATAGCAGTAGTATGCAGTAGCAGTGGTTTAGCAGTAGTATGCAGTAGCAGTGGTATAGTAGCAATGGTATAGTAGAAGTAGTATAAATATAGTAGCAGTAGTATAGTAGCAGTGGTTTATATTAGCAGTAGTATACAGTAGCAGTAGTATAGTAGCAGTGGTTTAGCAGTAGTATGCAGTAGCAGTGGTTTAGCAGTAGTATGCAGTAGCAGTGGTATAGTAGCAGTGGTTTCGCAGTAGTATGCAGTAGCTGTGGTATAGTAGCAATGGTATAGTAGAAGTAGTATAAATATAGTAGCAGTGGTATATAGCAGAAGTAATATATAGTAGCAGTAGTATAGTAGCAGTGGTTTATATTAGCAGTAGTATAGTAGCAGTGGTTTATATTAGCAGTAGTATGCAGTAGCAGTGGTATAGTAGCAGTAGTATACAGTAGCAGTGGTATAGTAGCAGTGGTATAGCAGTAGTATGCAGTAGCAGTGGTATAGTAGCAGTGGTTTATAGTAGCAGTAGTATACAGTAGCAGTGGTATACAGTAGCAGTGGTATACAGTAGCAGTAGTATAGTAGCAGTAGTATACAGTAGCAGTAGTATACAGTAGCAGTGGTATAGTAGCAGTGGTTTAGCAGTAGCATACAGTAGCAGTGGTATACAATAGCAGTGGTATATAGTAACAGTAGTATACAGTAGCAGTGGTATACAGTAGCAGTGGTTTATAGTAGCAGTAGTATACAGTGGCAGTAGTATACAGTAGCAGTGGTATACAGTAGCAGTGGTTTATAGTAGCAGTAGTATACAGTAGCAGTAGTATACAGTAGCAGTGGTATACAGTAGCAGTAGTATATAGTAGCAGTAGTATACAGTAGCAGTGGTATACAGTAGCAGTGGTTTATAGTAGCAGTAGTATACAGTAGCAGTGGTATACAGTAGCAGTAGTATACAGTAGCAGTGGTATACAATAGCTGTGGTATACAGGAGCAGTAGTATATAGTAGCAGTAGTATACAGTAGCAGTGATATACAGTAGCAGTGGTTTATAGTAGCAGTAGTATACAGTAGTAGTGGTATACAGTAGCAGTAGTATACAGTAGCAGTAGTATACAATAGCTGTGGTATACAGTAGCATTGGTTTATAGTAGCAGTAGTATACAGTAGCAGTAGTATACAGTAGCAGTAGTATAAATATAGTAGCAGTAGTACAGCAGTAGTATACAGTAGCAGTAGTATACAGTAGCAGTGGTATACAGTAGCAGTAGTATATAGTAGCAGTGGTATACAGTAGCAGTGGTATACAGTAGCAGTGGTTTATAGTAGCAGTAGTATACAGTAGCAGTAGTATACAGTAGCTGCGGTATAAAGTAGCAGTGGTTTATAGTAGCAGTAGTATACAGTAGCAGTAGTATACAGTAGTAGTGGTATACAGTAGCAGTTGTGTATAGTAGCAGTGGTATACAGTAGCAGTGGTTTATAGTAGCAGTAGTATACAGTAGCAGTAGTATACAGTAGCAGTGGTTTATAGTAGCAGTAGTATACAGTAGCAGTAGTATACAATAGCTGTGGTATACAGTAGCAGTGGTTTATAGTAGCAGTAGTATACAGTAGCAGTAGTATACAGTAGCAGTGGTATACAGTAGCAGTTGTGTATAGTAGCAGTAGTATACAGTAGCAGTGGTATACAGTAGCAGTGGTTTATAGTAGCAGTAGTATACAGTAGCAGTAGCAGTGGTATACAGTAGCAGTAGTATACAATAGCTGTGGTATACAGTAGCAGTGGTTTATAGTAGCAGTAGTATACAGTAGCAGTAGTATACAGTAGCAGTGGTATACAGTAGCAGTTGTGTATAGTAGCAGTAGTATACAGTAGCAGTGGTATACAGTAGCAGTGGTTTATAGTAGCAGTGGTATACAGTAGCAATGGTATAGATATAGTAGCAGTAGTATAGCAGTGGTTTATAGTAGCAGTAGTATACAGTAGCAGTGGTATAGTAGCAGTAGTATACAGTAGCAGTGGTATACAGTAGCAGTGGTATAGTAGCAGTAGTATACAGTAGCAGTGGTATAGTAGCAGTGGTATAGTAGCAGTAGTATACAGTTGCAGTGGTATAGTAGCAGTGGTATAGTAGAAGTAGTATACAGTTGCAGTGGTATAGTAGCAGTAGTATACAGTGGCAGTGGTATAGTAGCAGTAGTATACAGTTTCAGTGGTATAGTAGCAGTAGTATACAGTAGCAGTGGTATAGTAGCAGTGGTATAGTAGCAGTAGTATACAGTTGCAGTAGTATAGTAGCATAGTAGCAGTAGTATACAGTTTCAGTGGTATAGTAGCAGTAGTATACAGTAGCAGTGGTATAGTAGCAGTGGTATAGTAGCAGTAGTATACAGTTGCAGTAGTATAGTAGCATAGTAGCAGTAGTATACAGTTTCAGTGGTATAGTAGCAGTAGTATACAGTAGCAGTAGTATACAGTAGCAGTGGTATACAGTAGCAGTAGTATACAGTAGCAGTGGTATACAGTAGCAGTGGTATAAATATAGTAGCAGTAGTATAGCAGTGGTTTATAGTAGCAGTAGTATACAGTTGCAGTGGTATAGTAGCAGTAGTATACAGTAGCAGTGGTATAGTAGCAGTGGTATAGTAGCAGTAGTATACAGTGGCAGTGGTATAGTAGCAGTAGTATACAGTTGCAGTGGTATAGTAGCAGTAGTATACAGTTGCAGTGGTTTATAGTAGCAGTAAATATTTGCAGTAGGTAGTAGCATCGTTATCTTACTCATTAAGATTAGTCCTCCCATTTTCCCTCCAAGACTGTTGATTTCTGAGTGGAACAGCAGACAGTCAGAACAGCCAGTCTTCAGCATGGTCACTTGAGACTTGTCAAGAGGCCCTCGAGAGCAAACACACACACACACACACACACACACACACACACACACACACACACACACACACACACACACACACACACACACACACACACACGTAAACTCAATCACAGCCACAGTGCTGTCGCAAGTCTAGACACAAAGTTTGTTTGTGTCTGTCAGACAAAATATTTACACTACATGTTTCATCACTAGGTCGACCTTCTTACTTGCGTTCAGGGTCTCTGTAGTTACCGCTGCATCAAGGAAGACAAAAGATAGAAAATGACACTGGTAAACTGAGATTATTTGTCCCCAATAAAATGACTATTAAAAACCACATGTTTGTGATATTGTGAGGTTAGTTAACAGAGTGACAGAGTTCAAGATTTTTAAGACATGAGTAAAAGTGGCTGAAATGGAAGCAAGTCTGTGAGCATTGACCGTGTTTCCTCTTGTAATATATATACTATTATATTATACTATATTATATTATATTATATTATATTATATTGTATAACTGCACTCATTAAACGGTCATACCACACTGCTCTTTAAATTCTGTTTAACTGAATATCAAACTGTATGTCATTTGTCTACAATTTGCATACTTACGCAGTAATGTGTTGTTTCTTATTGTCAGCTTAATTGTAGTTGTGAGACAAATTCCAAACCTACACAGATAGTAAGACATCTGTGAGGTTACAAACAGGGACAGCGTACAGCCACTTAGCATACACACTAAAAGCATCAACACAACAATACACAACCACTATACAACAGCATTCAATTCATCCAACGTGAAATCCACAAAAGATTTTAAAAGAAGAGGCTAAGAGCACTACACTTTTAAAACGACACAATACATAACCACTACACAGCAGCCTCAAGTTCCTCCACAATAGCACACAATGATGCACTATTAATCCATTAAAATTACACGACAGAAACATCAGGTATCTCTAAAGCAACACTTCAACAATACTGTTATAACACACCCATACACAACAACATTATCAAACAGACTTCATGAAACTTCACGTGTGATGAGGACTTGATCGATTTGAGCCATGATTTCATGTTAGAATAAATTCAGCAAAGCTTCAGCACACAAACGTGTTGCTCCAATAGAAATGGCTGATTAGCTCAGAAGATCTGTGCTGTATTACACAACTCCCTCTGTTGGCTGTCCTATAATTTTTCTCTCCTATCTGTACACAGTGATGTTAACTCTTTTAGTTTTATTTCAAAGCCTACACTTAGGATAAATTATTTTTGAAATTACGTTTTTACTGCTGTTGTTTGAGTGATGACATCACTCTCGTTATCAGCGGTTAGTTTCATCCAGACGCTGTCCTGAAAATTCTTTGCCATCATCTCTATTTTCTTGTTGTTTCCGCTCACTGCTACACGCATCCACTTCCCCAGCAACTGAAACAGAAGGTGTTACTCTCAGATGTAAAATATCACAGAAACATTGGTAGACTTTTATTTTTTTACAACTTAACAGTTTAGAGACAGTTTCCTAATAAGTTGAGAGGGTGTCATACCTGCTCCGGTCCTTGGATTTCCAGAGGTTCGATCAGACTGTCACAGTCGGTTTCACAGTCGGTTTCACAGTCGGTTAGAGGAGCTGTGTGTCCCACACACAGAAGACTGAGCACAGCCACAGAAACGTGAAGAAACCCCATCATGGCTCAGCTGCTGATTGTGTCCGACTCCAGCTCTGACTGAACTGTTCATGCCTTTATATTCAGAGGTTCATTCACATTAAAGGAAAGAGTCAACAGAGGTGTGTGCACATGTAGCCAACTGCGATCTGGTTTAGAGGTGGATCCATCGAAATGTTTGACGTCTTTAATTAAGCAAACTGAAGTCAACAACATACAGCAAAGGAGCCAAAGGTCAGATTTGAACCCTCCCACAACCACCACTGAAAACTTTAAACATGCCGCATTAACATTAATGTAATGAGTTCATCTAATCACAGATTTCCATGTAATGCTAAAAGGGAATTTCTTTCATTTCATATGGAAGAACATTGACTGGTTATTGATGGTCATTTTTATGTCATTATATTTGTGCTAATTTAGCTAACAGCTAAATCCCATTGATCTGACTCTAATCAAAGGATTATTGGAACACAGCCAATCAGCCACCTGATTGTCAGCACCTGGGGTATCAAAAGCTCAAAACAAGATTCAAGAGCAACATTAGAATTAGCTGTTTGGCATTGGCAGATAAGATTGGGAAGTTTTTAATGGGTGTGGCTACTACACATACTCAGCTCTGCTGCTTATCCCACAAATGCATGCTCCTTACAAATGTGGCACCATTTAAAATGAACAAGATTTCCAACGGTATAAGATTTATTGCCAAGAAGCATTGTAACAACAAAGAAATAACCTACCAAACACAATTGTCCTTACTTTTTGTGAGATGGTTTATTTACCGTCATGTTCTTTGCTTTTTGCACCATAAACACAAAGAAAAATTACTTGTGTGTGTGAAAAATACTCGGCAGCCAGCGGAGAAAAGAGTAAGAATGTTGTAGAGTTAAATTTAGTTCGGCTAAATTCAAGTAAAATGTTTTATTTCAAGTGTGACAAACAGCTGGATTGTTGACTCATACCAGAAAGGAAAAACATAGCTGCTTAAATGTGACCAGGTGGGATTCACTTCACTTTCTTCTTGTTCATCTTCGACATTATCAGGGATTTCAGCTCCAGGTCCATGTTTTGGTCTGATCTGTCCTTCTCCATCTTTTTATGAGCTAGGCTATGATTAAGCCAATCAACTGGCCAGATTCAAGAAGTTAACTCAAAGTTAGATTTTTTTTTTTATCAGTAACATATGCTTTTTAAAATGCAGTGAAGTGCAACACTTCCCCCAAAGGATTCTAATGAAAAAGTAAAAATACTTATTTGAAAGACTTCTCAAAAAAGATTACAAGTACAGAAGAAAGCTAATCACTTTTAGCCCTTTTCAGAGTTCAACTCGGAAACAGCGCCTGACCTAAGCTGTGCCATTGTTACACCTTCAGATATTCTTATTGATTCCGCAGCGGTGCAGTATTGGTGTCCCAGTTAGTGAATTCATATTGCTTTACAACATTGAGCTAGCACAGCAAAGAGGGAGCTCCACATACACACACAGTCAGACATGCACACACACAGCACTGTGCTCCCACGCTGACTGAGCTGATCCCATCTCGCCCTTGAAACGCCTCTGTAACTACCTCTGAAGGCTGCACACCGAGCGCCTCTGCAGCATTTGTTTTGAAGGCGAAACGTCACAGGGTCGTAAATATCGCACCTTGAAACAGCGGTCTGTCTGGTGATAATCTTTATTCTGTTTCTAGTTCTTCCAGTAACCGCACCATTTCCATTTCACAAATGTTGTTTGTCAAATCTAAATTTCCACATGGACAAATTAAAAAATCTGGATTTGTTTGATGCTAGACAAAACAAAATGTAAAAGTCCCATTGATATTCATTACAGTCATGACTATTATCAGGAGTCTCATGAGTCAGAATTGGCCTCTAATTAAGTAGCCATGTCGCGATAGTTTTGACAGCGTTAGTTTTCTTTCAAGCTTTCCAATCCAACTGGCATTAGTTGTGTAAGTATGTCCAAGCCACCTTCACTTTCTAGAATTTTGTAAAATAGGGACATCATTTCAGGGTTCATGGTATTTGTTAGATCAATGTGCTCTGTAGACTCCTCTGGGCAGAGACCTGTAAGGAGAACAACAGAGATGTATTAAGGAGAGTGAAAAAACATGTATGTGTTCATTGTGCTTGATTTATTATCTTGTAAATTCATCTACACTTGCTTTTAATGACTTCCTGTTATAGATGTGGAAGTAATCTGAGCTCTGGCTCAGTTGGTAGAATTGGTCGTCTCTCAACCAGAAGGTTGGGGGTTCAATCCCCAGATTTCTGCTTTACATAACAACCTCTGCCATCAGTGTGTGAATGGGTAGGTTTTGTGACATGAGGTGTAAAAGCGCTTTGAGTAGTCAGAAGACTAGAAAAGTGCTTTACAAGCTCAAGTCCATTTACCATTTAAATGTGTTCTTTCTTCACCCACAGTGATTCTTATCTGACACATTAACTCAAACATTCAGACATGGAAATTCTAATGATTCAAACCCTCATTCTGGGATCCACTGTAAAAAACAAACATGTTTCTATCAATGAAAGTTCGTACCTTCTCCTTTGTTCAGGATCGCAGCTGGTGGCAAGTTCAGACACTCAACCTGCTTCTTAAACTCTTCCAGCTCATCAGAACTCACCTTGGTTCTCTTGCCTGAGAGACAGAAACATGTTACAATACAATGTTTGGCTTGAGAATCTAGGTTCAAAAAAAAAAAAAAAAACACATTTATAACAAGTTGTCGGAACATACTGATGAATAATTTTAAAAAAGAGGACTGTCTTGACCTGTTCTCGCTATAGGCTATGTAAAGGGTTGTGAGATACATTTTGTTTTGATTCCTCGTATTTAAAAATGATTGATTGATTTAAAAGGTTTAATGTTCCTCATTTCCACCACAGCTTGTGTATATGTATATCTTGTACATGTATCTATGTAAAGAGCTTACTCATGAGCTGGAGTCCGCTGAATGTGCTTTCTCCAAAGAAATATTGTGCAGAGTAAACCAGGCAGTCAGGGCAGCCAGTACTCAGGAGCCGTGCAGAAGAATTGAAAGGTTGCTCTGTGGATTCAACTACACACAAACACAGGTACAAAAAAAATACCGTAAATGTTGTTGCAATTCTGGACACAAAGTTCAAATTTGTTTGAGAAGGCAAATAACCAGTTAAATATTAAAAGAGGAGCTGTAGTCAGTAATACACACCATAAGAGAGGGTGTTGCCGTCCAAGGTTAACTTTGATTTTAACATAAAGCAGTGACCAAGCCTTTCATGAGAAGAAAATGTAAAAGAACAAAAGTTTTATATAAAAAATAAAAAACATTACTGCACACTCTATGCAAGACTCCAAATGAGTCCAAGCCATGTTTGGGAATCAAGCTGCTAGAAAAAATGTTATCAATCATTCAGTTTTGGCTTGAAATTACATTTTTTGATATTGAAAAGTGTCGATGGTATCACTCTCATTAGCAGCACTAAGTCTCGCCCAGGCATTATCCACGAACATCTTTGTCATATATTTGGATCCAAATATGTTGGTGGCTTCTGCTAAGAGTGTCCATTTGCCCAGCAGCTGAAAAAGACAGTTATCAGTTGTAATAAGAACACCCATCAAAAGGATGGTACTTTTTTTTAAAGAATAAAAACAGAAAATCATCCAGAATGCATCGACCGAGAGTGTTAGACAAGACAGTCTTACCTGGTCTCTCCCTTGGATTTCAATAGGTTGGATCAGACTCTCGCAGTCGGTCACAGGAGCAGATTGTCCGACAGAGAAAAGACCGAGCACAACCACAGCAACATGAACCAACCCCATCATGTCTCCCCACACCTGCTTCATCAAAGAACCTCAATACAAATGGCGTTTCAGGCTGAGTTTACCCGTTTTAAGCTGAAACTGGTTCACTGAAATCAATACGGAGGGTGAAGAGTCCTGCACTGTTTGTGATGCAACCTTGTTAAATGGGGCCTACAAAAGGTTGTAGAAAAAATATGACTTGTGTTGATGTCTCGTGCTCACTCTGGAACAAAGACAAGTCCCAAAAACTAAAATAAAAAGATGTTGAATGAACCCAAAACAACATTTAAAGTTCAAACTGATATAAAGAGTTTACTGCGTGTCAAACTCAAACTCATTGCTCAAAAGGGACTACAACTTCTGCACAGTTAATCAAAAATGAAAAACCGTTAACAAAGCGTTAACTGCGGTATCAGTTTAATAACCCTGCTCATGGGTCATGGCAAAAGACGGGAAGAGTCAGAAGTTATCAAAGACACTGAATCATTTATTACAAAACAAGTTAAATTAATCAATAACACGGTTCATTGTAGTTCAGCGACTTACTCAAGGGCACCCAGGCAGTGCTCAGGAAGTGAACTGGCACCTCTCCAGCTACCAGAGCAACTTCCAGACTTGGTCCACATCGAGACTTGAGCTGGCGACCTTCCGGTTCCCAACCCAGGTCCCTACAGACTGACCTACTGCCGCCCCAGTTTTGAGGTGTAAGGTGTTGAAGAGTGCGCTAACTTAAAGAACTAAAGTAACAAATGTGTAAATGGTGGTCAGGCTGTGGGAGAGTCAGAGGGTCAGAGCGTGAATGAGGGAAACCAGCAGATCTTTGGAGATATGAGCGCACCATAGGCCCAGCTGCAGATGACCCTGACGATGAGCCTCCAGCCAGGACACTACCCCCCCCTTCAGTAATCACACAGACAGACGACAGCAGCAAGCCAAAGACTCCCAGTGGCATTGTGACAGGGCCGTCAGTCAATCAGGTAGTTCCGTTCATTTTTAACAGAAGTTTAAATTAATGTGAGCGCCAACCAATCTTACCAATAAACAAAAAGGACGGAGAGGATGGACTTTTGGATGGACACGTGTTAGAAAAATATGATAACGTGTATCTTGAGGGATAATATTCAATATCATAATATTTATTGTCAGAAGTCTCATAAACCAGAAATGGCTTCTTATTATGTCACCATGTTGGAGTATCTTTGAAAATGTAATTTATCTTCTTGTCATCTAAGCTTTATGGAAAGAAATGGTGATCGGAATTACAATTAAAAGGCTGATTTTAAAATTAAAATGAATTAAGAGAAATGCTTTTAAGTCTCAAAAATGTGGGGGAATTATTTGAATCATAAATGAAATTATTACTCATTTATTCAATTTCAATTATGAGTTTTCATCTTCTATAGTGCACATTCTTTGACATAATTAAAACAAGAAAGAAATTACTTTTTGATTTAAAAGAAAAATCCAGCACATTTGTTACCATAAAAACATATTTATTATTAATTTCTTGTAAAAAGTCAAATAATTCACCCACATCCTGAAAATGAAAAATAATTTATCATAATGCAGTTTAATTTTAAAATTAGTTTTTCAATTTGAATTCTGACATTAAATGTATAATCAAGTCCATTCCACCATCACATCTCCACCACTGAAGATTGTTTCTAATTCTTCAGGGCTCATGCCATAGAAGTCGTTGGTTAGATCCGTGTTCTGCAGAGAGTCTTGTGGGCAAAGACCTGTGAAGAGAGGAAACGCTGTGTATTACAGAGTTACAAAAGCATCCAGTGTGATAATGAATCATACTTATTCTGGGTTCTATCACAGACAAGTCCACTGAGTAAAAGTAAAAAAAACCTGTAGGAGCAGTTTGATCAAGTTTTATAAAGAATATAGCAAATTAATACAGTAGAAAATTGCTAAAATAATTTGTTTATGTTTTAAAGGAGCAATATGTAACATCGACACCCAGTGTTTAAAATGGGTACTGCAGTCCAAATTCAAAACATTAGAGAGAAGCTTCAGTGTTTATCCATTGTGGGCATTGTTGACAGAGAAGCCACTTCAACATAGCATGTTTCCTTAATGTCTGATGATATAGTAATGTCATTTTAAGATTTATTTCAGTAGATATCTTACATATTGGATAATGACATTAAATTATATCCAAATATTAAAATCTTCATTCTTAGACATTCTGTTCACAAACACCGCTTTCCATGTCGGTAGTTCCTACCTTTGTCTTGGTTCAGGATCACAGGTGGTGGTAACTTCAGACACCCCACCTGCCTCCTAAACTCGTGCAGTTCAGCATCAGTCACATTGTTTCTCCTGCCTGAAGAGACGGAACAGAGTAACAGACAGTATCATATAGAATTCACCTCCAGGTGACTTTTCCATACTGTGACTGCTGCACTGGTGCATAGAGTGTGAGCATGCGACAGCTACGATCTCTGTGCACGTGATTAAATGGCTGCATTTCGTTTTCTGTCCGTCAGGAGAATATCCAGAGCAGTCCTCCTGAAATTATCTAGATATTTTCAGCAGTGCATTATGTGAAAACGGCTTGATAGTGTCGATTTTGAGGCAAAGCGGTTCCTTTTATCTATTTTTTCTGATTTTGTCCTACTCATTCTTACGTCTTTTAACCAAATGCATCACTCATCAAGCATCTTTGCTGTTGATAAAGTAAAAAAAAAAAAAAAGGCTGCTTCTGCTGCCAGCTGTTTATCTGAACCCCCCCCCCCACACACACACACACACACACCTTGTTAAGGTCATAAAAACGCACCAACATTGATTTCAGTCAGTTTCATAACCCGTTAAAAACTCCTCACAGGACCTTTAAATTGACTTTGTAAACTCTTATGTGCTAATCAGGTTCAAGGTCACTCTCTCAGACATTTCTTAGGATTGTTCTGAATTCAATTCTCCCTTGTGTTTTCTCTATCTTCTCTTTTCATGCTTGAAACAGTATTTGAAAAATCTCACTCATCAGCTGGACCCCGTTGTATGCGCTCTCCTCCATGGGATATTGTGTTGCGTAAACAAGGCAGTCAGGGCAGCCGGTGCTCAGCAGCCTGGCAGAAGAATTCAAAGGTGGCCCTGTGGAAAAGAGAGCACACAAACACTCATCAACAAATACACAGAGCGGCTGCTGGTTTTAGACACAGAGTTCAGATCTGTTTGTGCAGGTGCACGGCGAGTCCAAACATTTGGTTTCATCGACAATACGCACCGATAGAGAGAGTGTTGTTCTCCAACGTCATCTTGGTTTTGAGCGTGTAACAGTTGCCGGACCTTTATTCATAGAAAATAATAGAGAAAGGTAAATGTAAATAAAAGATTTTTAAAAAAGCTAAATATTGTTTGTAAAAATCCGTACTGCATATTATTGGCAAGAATCCAAAATACACATTCAAAATCTTATACGACAGGTTCATAAAAGGCTTAAACTTACATTTTTTCAGCCTGAAAAACGTCAATGACCCCGCTCTCATTAGCAGCAGTAAATAATGTCCAGGCGCTCTCCACAACAAAATCTGTCATCGACTTGGCTCCAGGTGTGTTTGTAGATTCTGCTAAGAGCGTCCACTTTCCCAGGAGCTGAAAAAGACAGAAGATTACAAATGGCTGCATCAAAGTATTATTTGATTGAGCTCAAGAATGAATGCAGAAACTACCCATCGGTACAGAAAATGAGAGTGAGAGACAGGACACAGTAGTCTCACCTGGTCTCTTTCTAGGACGTCCATAGGTTTGATCAGACTCTCACAGCCGGTCACAGGAGCAGACTCTCCGACAGACAGAAGACCGAGCACGACCACGACGGCAACATGGTTCAACCCCATCCTGAAACTACAACCTGATGAGCTGAAGTTATGGAGGAGCCTCATCCACACAGGAGTCCTGCTTTGTTTACAAATGTGTTGCAATGTAGTTCATAGAGGTAGATTCAGAATGAAGTCTTTTTTTATTATTATTTAGACAACTTGAAAATGTTTCTAAAATCAAATAAATGACCAAAGTGTTGATGTTTGTTAATAAGCACTCACTCTATCACAAAACTCAAGTGACAGGAACTGGAAAATAAGAGAAATTAAAACCAAAAACAACATCAAAAGTAACAAAATTGTGTAAACTTTAAGGTAAAAGATAAAAAAAAAACAGGCGTCAAACTCCAGCTAATAACTCAAAGGCCTACGGTCAAAATGTTCCAGGGAAAGAGAAGACTAGGCTGAACAATTTAATGTTAATTATATGTTACTATAGCAACAAATGTTTCACACATTTGTACAGCATGTAATATATTCTCCCTGGTTAAATCCAGCGTTCCTGTTAAATGTTATTTATCTGCCAAATATATTTTAATAGAGAATTATCTGAGTATATATAACGTCTGATCACTCATCCTGTACTCATGGGAGTTTACACATATTTCGACTTAATACACATATTCATAAGTTTTCAGCTGAGAAAGTGGCCTGAGGGTTTAGTTACTCTTCAAGTTATTGGATTGCAAAAGTAGTCAGTTAACATCAAAAACATTGCATTGATGATATCAGGTCGTATGACATGATATGAAATGGCATGAACCAGATGGCACTATATAAGAGCACACGAAGCATAGCATAAGTGACATGTTGGGACCACAGAATATATCATATGGTAACATGGAGGTGCAGTGTTTGACTACATCCTGCACATATGTATCTGTATCTGTGCGTGTGTGTGTGTGTGTGTGGTGCTGGGATGCGGTTTGGTGTGTTTTAAGTGTATCTATGTGAATTATGTGAGCACCTCAGATCTTCAAATAACTCTGAACAAAAAAAAACCCTGAGAGAGTAAATAAGAGCGCTGAGGGGGGAGGAGCAGCTCCTCTGAGCTTTATCGTGGCTTTTGGTTTGGGTTGTCGACGCTTTAGTGCTTTCATTCTCACTGAGCTATACGATAAAAAAAAAAGTCCAAGTCCTTCACACTTCTGTCTAAAAACGCTGCCAATGTAAGAGTGTAATTTAGACAGTGTTCTTTCTCTCTCTAGTGGTTTAACAACTGAAGATCTGAAGTTTTCTTTTTAACCTTCAGTACTTTTTAATACCGTCAATCATTAAAAACACAGATTTTAAAATACTAGATAATGAAAATGATCGAATTAAAGATCATTTAAAACAACATTTTTCTGCACATGTAAAATGCTGCGGTGGGTTGTACTCCTCATGAAAACGTTCTCGCCTCAAAGTCTCTTTGTGGATTTCGACATACAAACATGTTAACTGTCCTCCTGACCACGGGAAGGATCTACCTGCTTTTATTTCTTAATGTGAGGACAACTTTTTTTTAGATCTGAATGTTTCTAAAAAAACCAAGGAACTAGTCTCTGAGAATTCACCTTTTAAGAAAACTGAATTCATTCTCTCATTTTTTTTAAATCAGTCTTTGGTTGAGAGTCTGTTATGTTTTTGTTTTTTTATCTGCTGGTCTCTCAGCCTCTCAGTGAAGGACAGAAAGTCTGAACACTATCGTTAAAATCTGTTCTGAGATGGTTGGTGTGAAACAGAGAGGTAACCAGCTGATTCTCAGGAAGACTGGAAAGTGTTTTAGTTTCTTCTGAACGTGTTTTAGTTTCTTCTGAACGTGTTTTAGGGCGTCGTTTTGTTTTACCTGTTAATCTAAACTTTACTCCAAATCTTTCACCCGCCCAGCAATCTGAATCCTCCTAGTCTTTACTGACTTTATCCTTTTAGCACCACTGATCTTTTTATTCTTTGAACATTTTATTGTTTCCTTATTTCTGTCTGCTTAACACTGATATCTCCTTTTAGGTCCTGTTCTATATTTGAGCTCTTTTGTATAATCTATACGTCACTGTGTCTTTATTTCTCTTTTCTATGTACAAGCTGCTCCAAACCGATTGCCCCAAGAGGGACTCATAAAGTTGTTGAATTAAATTCATTTGATATCTTTGATAGGGACAGAGACGATATACATAGACGAACTGAAAACAACAATCCGAGTCAAGTATCATAGTGTTTATAGCGGATGCTGATTTTGCAACGCTCGTCCCTAGAAGAGCTTTTGTGTCAATAAAAGATGAAAAAGTGAAAAAGAGAAAGTAAACTGAGTACAGCCAGAAACACTAAGCCTCACGCTGAGCTGTGATAAAGCTACAAACAATCAAACGTGAGTACAAGTCTGTTGCTGAACTGAACCATAGACTGTAAAAATAACTGAACAGGATTAGGTGACTCTCTTGAAAAAACTTTGAAAAAACTTTGAAAAAACTTTGAAAAAACTTTGAAAAACTTTGAAAAAACTAGACCAGAATGGATAGAAAGTTTTTTTCTATCAGGTTTGTTGATGAGCTTTGCATCGTGTTTCTCATCTGTTTAGCTCTGACTGTTCAGTACAGGACTCTCCTTGATACATGTCTGGAAGCTTTAAATGATGGCACTGTAAACAAAGCTGTTACTGTAATTCACTGAATAAATACAATTGAATCATAAGCTGTAAAAATGTATGAATTAAATATCTAAAGTAATAATATCAGATGAAATGTGTTATATCACAGATGTGGTACGCAGGTTTTGAAAATGGTGTTCCTTACATCAGTGCTATATGATAAGAAAGTAAGAAAGTCGAGCAGATGTTCACAGTTGGACCGGTGGTCGAGTGGTTAAGGCACGCAACCCCTGCACAGAGGGTTGGGTCCTCAAAGCGGGCAGCCCGGGTTCAAATCCAACCAGTGGCTCCTTACCCGGCATGTCGTTCCCCACTCTCTCTGTCCCTGATTTCAGCCTCTATCCACTGTCCTTTCTCTACAAGAAAGGCACAAAAAGCCCCAAAATAAATCTTAAAAAAAGAGGCTGACACAGCAGATCCACAGACGACACTCGACAAAGCACCAGAGGAAAGCATAAAAATAAAGCCATTAAGATTGACGTCTTTTTGGCCTGATCAAGATGTTTTCTCCCTCTCCTCCCTTATCTTTTTATAATTCTTATAAAGTTCATTTAACAAAGAGTGAGTCAAGTATGGACAGAAAGGAGCTTTCATGTGAATCCAAACAAAACTCCTTAAACGAAGCAGAACAGACGAAGAAGACGTCACAGGGGTCATTAGGATATTTACTTTATATTCAAGTTTTAAAAACTACTGCAAGATGTGTATCTGTCAAATATGTGCACCGCCTCATTAATGATCCCAGACACTCACTGTGGGGAAAATAACTGATATTAGATCATAAAAAAAAAACCAATACTGAGTGTTAAATCTTCTGACTGATTTATTGAAGTTGCTTTTTTAGTAAAACAAAAGACGACTGGGACAGTTTGATCAGATGGATAAGATACATACAGGTAGCAGTTATTTAATAAATACAAAATATGAAAAATAAAAAGTCTCAACAGCCCCAAAAAAATGTGCCAAGGCTTTATAAAAAGTTTGATTAATGTACTCATAAAAATAAACTCCTTCACTGCAGACTGTGTGTGTTAGTGAAAGTGTATTTTAATGGGACGTAAGTCTCACAGAATCTTACAAACAATCCTAAAAATGTTTTTTTTTTTAACAGATTCAGGGCTGACACATGCAGTGTGTTGAGTTTTTAAGATATATCCAGATATTTTCACACCAGATATACTAAAGGGCAGTGATACTCAACCCGTGGCACATGTGTCTCTTTTAGATCCTACTTGGACAAAAAAAAACAATACAAAGCAATTATTTTTAAGAAAAGGGAAACATCGTCAGCAGAAACTAGTCTTTGCAGGTCATGTCACCGTGTTTCCCACACATATTTTAGGAAAGAAAGAAATTTTCAATGTGGCTCTTAAGTCTAACAAGAGTACCATTGCGTAGGGAAGGAACATTTTCATTGATTTTATTTTATTTAAGGAGCATTTTATTTAATATGATCATATTTGAAGTCATTTGACGTAATCTACATGTTGACACTGTGCAGCTGGCTGTTCATAAAAGAGTCTGTGTGACGTTTAGCTCGAGCGGATTTGACTTAGAAGTGACTGTTTTTTTTTACTGTGAAAAAAATAAACGATGTATCAGCATTCAGCTAACAAATATCAAAGTTAAATATTGTCCATGTCGCCCAACCCTGAACAGATTTAACAGGATTGTATGTTTGTCTGTCAGAGATAATAAACGACTTTTCTGATCAAGTCTCATGAATGATCCTCCTCTGCAAGCAAACAATTAACAGTACAATAATACACAAAGTAATTCCTTAGTTTGAGTTTTAAAAAGAAAAGTCAAATCCCTCTGTGCAGGCCTGACTGTAGAACAAAATGTCTGAGATTAGAGGGGATGGGGGGGGGGGGTGCAGCTACGGTGATCGGCAGCAGCATTGAGAAACAGCGTCGGTGCAATGGGACCCTCATGTTGTCCCCCGCTTAACAGACAGGTCACATGCACCTCTCATGACCAACACAGCTAGAATAAACACGATCGGAGTCACTGTTGTCACTTTGAAAGCTTTGATAACTTTTTGTAAAAACACAAAACAACTATCGTTCATTTTTGTGAATTGAGAGGGGGGGGGGGTCCTTTTAAATGAGGGTGCACCGCAACCTTCTGCAACCCTCGTAGAACCGGGCCTGCTCTGTTGAAGCTCAATGCAGCCGTACAAAAAAATTACTGCCTGTGACTTACTGTGGCGTTGAGGGCATTTATACAACAGATCGTTGGAAGTGAATTCGCCCCATCAGGCGACATAATGCGATAGTGAGGTACTTTCCTCCACGAGAAGTGATGTGTTGTTTCCAGTTTAAAGCTTTAAAGGCTCATACTGAAGAAAGTCTTTCACAGCAACACAATTAATAAAAAAGAGTTTCTGCCTGAGGCTTTCTGAAACACAAAATCCCTCCGTCTGATGCACATGTTGTTCACCGTCAGATTGGACGTTTTCTGCACATCCCTCCCTACATCGCACTAATGTAGAGCTGACATGACGCTGTATTAGGAGTATGACTGAATCAATGTTTTTTTAAATTCAGCTCAAGTTAACGGGAGTCCCTTTTAGTGAGAGGAACTTTCTGTAGAGAATAGGAATACAACTTTGGGATGCTGTACGTCTACAGGTCCTGACTTGAAACCGCTCGCCAAGACAGTTCACTGAAGTCTCTTTGTGAAGGCACAGTCGCCCGCTTATTCAAGGTCAAGAGTCAAAAGACCTTACACTGGTTTATGCTGAACATCCGTCGCCTGGCCTGCTTCCTGGCCTGATTCACAGCCGTCCGAACCGCATACTCAAACACCTGCTGCACGCCGCGGTTGCTCAAGGACGAGCACTCCAGGTAGCCTTTAGCGTGGACCTGTTGAGCCATGTGTCTCCCCTCTGCAGGTGATATGCAGGTGCCCCGGTACGACCCCACTTCCCGCAGATCCGTCTGGGTGGCCACGACCAAAATGGGCACCCTCGGCAGGTACTCCCGGACCTCGTTGATCCACTTGTGCTGGACGTTGGCCAGGGAGTTGGGGTTGGCCACCGAGAAGCAGATGAGGACGACGTCGGCCTGCTGGTAGGATCTGGGTCGGATCTGTCGGAAGTTGTCGTTTCCCGCCGTGTCCCACAGGCCCAGACTGATCTGAACGCCGTCCATGTAGACCTCCACCCCTGTGTTCTCAAACACGGTGGGCTTGTAGGAGTCCGGGAAGGTCTCCGACGTGAAGCGGACCAGCAGGGCGGTCTTTCCCACGGCGCTGTCCCCGACCAGGACGCACTTCAACGACATCTCCTCCACGCCGTTCATTGTTCCCTCTGATGGTCTCGCCTGGTCGATGAAGTTTTTTTTCTTCAGATATTTATGATATGAAGAGGCACAGGGTTCACGAGGTGTTTGCTGTACAACCCTTCTTTGTAGCTCTCATAGTAGTCTGAAGCACTCGTCTCCTTGTAACTCCATTCCTGGTGATTTCAGTCGTCATCCGCTTGCTGCTTGACGTCTCTCTTCTTTCTTTTTTTTTCAGAGTTCTTAAACGTTTCTTTATTTCGGCTCCAGCTTTATACACACTTCATGTGGAGGTCTTATTTTAGACACCCTGGGCTCGTCTCACCTTTTGCTTGGTTTCTACACTGTGGTCTGGTTCTGTGTCTTCTCTCGACTGGCTTTGAGGGCCTCCATTCTGTCCGTGTTACTCAACCTCTCAAAGGGAGGCGAGAAATCTACAGAGGAAGAGGCATGGAGAGAGGATATGTTAACATCATGAGAAATATGTAACGGTTCGTCTGCGTCGCTCGTTTAACTACAACTTGACTGAACAGTCTACTTCAAGCAACCAATGACATCACCTATGTTTGTGGAACGAACATATTTAAGGAGGAAAGTTTAAAGTTTTAATGGGTGACAACGCTTAGGCTAATACGGAAGTAAGAACGTGTGTGTTTGGGCGTGACCACAAGTACTCGGCTTAAACGTAAAGACTTTTCAAGCAGCTCGTTATTAACATAAATTCAGTATTTGAAGCGTGTACTTGTCGCCTTGTTTTCCTTTCACTCCTAAAGAATCTCCCTCGACGACAGAGTTCATTCTGCAATCGACAAACCAATAAAATCCCAGAGGACGTTGCCCTGTTTCATTGTCTAACATAATAACGCACAATCAGCTGATTTTGCTGATCATAAAAACGGAAATGGATCTTTTTTTTTTTTTTTAAATCATGATCAGATAAATGTGCTGATGGTGCCTCATGGCTTATGAGAACTGACAGTCTGACATTTTTGTTTAAGCAAGACACGTTACAATCATGACCTCAAAAACACCACCTGCCATGACACACACACACACACACACACATACACACACACACGCACACACACACACACACACACACACACGCACACACACACACACACGCCATCATTTAGCTGGAAAGACCTCCATCTTCAAAACATACAAGGGAAACTTTCATCCATGTGTTTTACCCCACTGTTTAACTGTCTTAATAATGCTTAAAAGAAGTCTTTATTTATATTTTACTGAGGAAATGTATCCTACAGTCAGGTCTAAAGTATAGATAAAGTATAAAAACAAGAATTAAGCTTCTTGAACTGAATGAATTGTTAAACTGTCTGCTACAATCCGCTGTTGTTGCTTCTTTTATGTAGCTATAGCAACAAAATGTTACATTATACCCATACACATATATTTTACCTCGAAAATTTGAGTAAGAATATCAGCTACTCTTAAGTTCTCACATATTCAAGTTCAATGTTCAGGTTTTTTTCCAAATTTTCATATTTACATTACATTAAATGAGCAAATAATAAAGGAGAATATGAGTGTGTATGCCCAAAGTGATCATCATAATGGCGGCAGAGTAAAAGGAGGACTAAACAAAAGAGGTGAATTACCTTCAGATGATTTCTGCTGCCTTTGAAGACGTCACTGCGGATCTTTAGAAAACGTTATTTGTAGATTACAAATAACTTCACCAGCCAAAGTGTGTGCAGGCTTTAACAGAGAGGGGGAAAAAAGACAAAAGGAGGGTATAGTTTAGCACCTGCCATACAACCCCGAGGTCGGTTAAACTTAAGGAGGCAAAACGACGGAAGTGTCTCGACAGAACAGAAAGGTAAAAAGCTTGTCATACTTTGGTGTGACTTCTTCTGCTCGCTCCCCCACAGCAGCTGTGTTTGAGGGTTTTATTTCCTGTGGTGAATGAACAGTAAGGCCTAACATTTTGAGTCAGGCAAAGCGAGCATGAATTAAATATTCAAACATATCTTAGGTTACATTTTATGTAAATAATGGTAATAATAATTTAAGCAACAAAACAAAAAACAAAGAGGAGCCTCATTTATTAAGTTTAAACCACATTCAAAATATTGTTTTGAATCCTTTGCTGAGCAGTTTTTCACTTGTTTATTTTTATTTAAGGGCACCGTTATACACATAAACATTTATTTACAGATGCCGGGGTTTGACTTTTTCTGTAAATAATGCTCATGCTCCTCCAATCAGGTGGGCTCTCTCTAGTGACGTAATTTGAGTCAACTTGAGGCTTCACCTCCATGTTTTAATGTTAGCTGAGGGTAATGTAGACCTTTACCTTTTTGAAGACCCTTTATTTTTATCTTTGGTAATTGGTAAATGGATTTAAGCTTGTTTAGTTATTTTCTAGTCTTCTGACTACTCAAAGTGCTTTTACGCTGCAGGTCACACCGACACATTCACACACTGATGGTACTGGTTTTAAAGTAAAGTGACCTTCAGAAGTAACTAATCGCTTATTACACATTCATACGCCACCAGGAGCAACTTGGGGTTAAGTGTCTTGCCCAAGGACACATTGGACATGTCGAACCCCCAACCTTCCAGTTGAGAGATCACACTTTATTTTTTATCCCATTATCAAAGTTTTAAAATGTGATTCAACACTAGTAAAAATCAAACAATACTGACACCTGGATCGATACCATAGCAACAAAAAACAGAACTCCTATGCACCCAATATTGAGTAAATATTGTTTTTAATTACAAAATAATGCAGCCAAGAGGCGCCAGATAGCCGAGCGGTTATGTAGCCCACCCCATGTACGGAGGCTACAGTCCTTGTTGCAGTGGCCGTGGGTTCGAATCCAACCTCTGCCCTTTTCTGCATGTCATCCCCTCTCTCTCCTCACAATGTTTCCTGTCTCCCTTCAGCTGTCTTATCAAATGAAGGTTAAAATGGCCCAAAAAATATCTTTAAAAAGACGTGAACTGAGCTTTAGACTTTATTCTGAAGTATCACAGTATGGACATGTGTTGACAACCTTCATTTCTGTAACACCGGCTTATTTCTAGATGAATCTGCTGTTCTAACTTTCATGTTTTATGTGTGAATAAACGTGTAAAAACGATGACTGATTGGTCTTGAAGAGTTTCATCTAGCACACAGAAATGTTCACATAAACGAGTTTGAAACGTTAAAACATTTGTCATTTTATTCCACAATACAAGAGTCTCTGTTTAACAGCTGAACAAATGGATACAAAAATACAATTTTCTCTTTACAGATCAGGTGTTCACAACATTATGTACAGTCAATAAAATCTTTGAATAAGGTGGCCCGACGTCTGTGAAAAATATCCCAGAGATAAAGAAACAGAAGCTGCTACAAACCTACGAAGCTATTGCAGCGTCCTGAGTAATAAAAAAAAAGTTACAAAACTAGGAGTGAGGGGTTAAAAAGTTACCCGGAGAAGGCTCGCCTTGAAAGAATGAGAAACCTGAGTTTGAATATCGATATATATATATATGCAGCAATACTTAAGTTTGGCATCAAACTGAAAAAATAGAGGAAGATACTAAGACAAAGTAGACTTTCATGCTGCCAAAGCAAAAGTTGATCAAACTATTTAATGGGGTTTTTGATCACCTGAAGAGATAAAGGTTCACCTTCTGGTGATCAAAAACACTCATTACCATGACAACACTGAGCCAAGGCGACTTCTAAGCTCTTGGTTTGGTGACTCCTTATCACACAACAATCCCTGAATAGACAGCATGCTTTAAATGTACGCTCATTTTTAAACAAAATGCTTAAAAAACGGGTCCTACAAAAACGTGCAAACAACTTCCTGGTAGACAGCGTGGCGTCATGATTGAATTAAAGATTCTTAAAATCCATCCATTATGTTTCCAACCAGACTCTAAAAAGGTAAATGGTTGAATTTTCATATAAATATAAACTCATCAGACATGGAGCCCTTGAAAAAGAGGAAGACTTCTCATTATTTTTTAAAAGGCACAAAGATAAACGTCAATCCAAATCCCCAGTTTAAAATGTTTTCAAAGTTAAAATGTTCATTTATTCAAGCTTTATAGATGAATAAAAACATCATGTAAAGCTGTGTTTCATGAAGTTATGACTGATTTAGAAATGTAAGAGAGGCGGGATGAGCAAACAAAAAGCCCCAAAAACAGACTGACAAGGTTGAGAGTGTACTATACTGTGTAAACTGATTAAATATGTAGTGAGAGAGAGAGAGAGAGAGAGAGAGAGAGAGAGAGAGAGAGAGAGAGAGAGAGAGATGTTTGTACGTGTGTTGTCCTCCGCAGCAGCAGCAGCTTGAATCCAATAAACCAGGTTCTTCTCATTTCAAAGAGACTAACACAGTACCTGTGTTGGGCTCAGTGAACCTGACAGATGGAGAGATAGGAGAAAATGTGGGTGACAATGAACATGTCATGCACGAGTGTTCAGTTGTGTGTGTGTGTGTGTGTGTGTGTCTGTGTGTGTACCTGTAGTGTTTGTTGGTGAGGTAGTCTATAACGGCGGGACGGATGCGGGCCACGCCCCCCTGGCTGTGGTTTCCTCTTCCTGTGATGATAGAGAGCTGGGGTTGACACAGACCCTGCTCACACTCTGCACAGAAAGAGGCCAAAGAAGAAACACACACACACACACACACACACACACACACACACACACACACACAGATGGTTAACAGGAGCAGAAAGCCAAAATCTTTAACAGACACAAACTTCTACAAACATGTTATTATACATTCTGATACCTCAAATGATTGTGTTGTTGTAGTTATGTTGTCCCACTTAATACCAAAGACTGTAAATATGAATGTATGAAGCCATCTGTTCCTGCAGGGGCCTCCGGAGGCTCATCAGCAGCAGCCGCCATGTTGGAAATCCTGTCTCAGCCTAACTTTCAGTCGACCTAACGACAGGCTGAGAGCTGGAGCTGAGGCGGGTTTTTAAGCCTCCTGACAAACCGTTACATCGCCCCCACCTGTCAATCATGTCAGCTGCACTCCTAACTATGTATAACATGTATCGTTTTCAAAATCAAAAAAGAGCCGTTTAAAAGAAACACATGTACAGTGTGTGCCAGTGATGACAGTAACTAATCAGACCTATTTGGGGTTTTTTTGTACCAGGCTGTAAACAGGTTTATTTGTGATTTAAAAACAGCTGTTTTGGCTGTCATGTGTATGTGACTTCCGGTGTTCCTGGAGCCACACTTGAGGAACTGGAGGATTTTGCACTTCTGCATTGGCTTCATTTTTTTAAGACCAGAGGTTGCCGCTTGCCTAATACCCATAAATTCCTTTAAAGCAGGAGATGCATGAAGATGCTACTCCTGCATGCCGTTCTCCTACTCTGCTGTGTAATGTCCTTTACCTGTGCTCTTGTCCTCTAAGACCTGGCCCAGATGCTCCAGGGCCTCATCGACGTGCAGGCCGTGTAGGTCCAGGATGTTCCTTGGCAGCAGTGATGAGTTGACCCTCTCAAAGATCTGAACTGCCGCACGATCATTGGCCTCACGCATCCGCTTGCCGTGCATGTGTCCCTGCAGAAGAGAATGATACTAACTCATTTACCATTAGCAGAGATTTTTCTTTTAACTTGACGATGAGCTGCACTTTGAAAAAAAAAAACAACAAAGCGCTTCACTCCTCACCTGCTGTGCATAAAACGAAGCCACGTCTTTATTTCCTTGTTTGAAGGCCTCAGCAGCTTTAGCGAAACTCTCAAGCTGCCGGCCTCTCTGCAGGCTGGCCTCGGCCCTGAAGTCCACATACTCTGGATCCTCTGTATCCTGATAGTCTAGAACAGCGGAGTCCAAAGGCTTCTGCTTCTGACAAATTTAAAAAGGGACGACATGATACAGACAGAAGTTCAGGATGACTCGTTTTTACTGAATACTGGCTCTTGCACATGCACAGCCTAGTGGTAAAGTTTGTTTTCTCTTTAAATTATCTTTAAACTAGATCAGAGATTCACAAATTTTTTTTTTCTGCAGGCCCCCCTTTGGAAAATCCCCCGCTCCCTATCATGCAAAATCAACACATACACAGACATCCATATACACTAAAACACAGTTAGAAAGGTCTTCTGCTCACAAATTCCTGTTTATTAAGGATTTAATTGAAGTCAAAAATACATAAATGCACCTTCAGTGGGGGATATTCAGTCACTTTTCCAGAGAAGGCACTGCAACATGAAGCTTCCTATTTTTAAATAATGACAGCGTGCATTCCTTGCAACAGATTTTCTTAAACTGACTGGGAATAAACAACTTCATTTACCCTTCCAGTTAGTCCTGTGATCATTTCAATGTCCAGCTTTTGATCTGTATTTTGTCAAATGCAGATAAACCTTTTGATTACACACGTGTATGATGTGGTAAACAAGAGTGTGGCTTTCCTGTCGAGCAGCTACAGTGTGTGGTTGTTTTTTTTTAAACACTGGGCTACTCTGTTAGATTCTACTTTACTTAGATGCAACTTAAGTAAAGTCTCTCTGTTGGACACAGCAGTTGAGAAGTTTCTTTCTAAAGAAATCAAACAGGCCTCTCTTTGAGTGCGGGATGTGACGTCTTAACTTGTTGGGTTTCATGCTGTCATGAGCCAAGACTTGAAGGCACAACACACACTGCAGTCTCTGTTCATTACTCCACTTTGTAGAGGGGAAGCTTAGGGGTGAGGCATGACTAGTCATATTTCATCAATAGTGGGCAGTCCTTTCATTAAGTCGGCCATGTTTTGCTAGCAGTGTAGAACTACATGCATTGATCTTATGTAACCCTGCAGTCATAACTACAAAGGGTCACGACACCCCTCCAGTTTGGGAATCACTGAATTACACTAATATCTTTCTGTACTGCAGTACATTGTACATCCAAACTGTCTTAAACTTTGTGAAAACAAAGATTAAAAGAGGTCAAGAGATTAAAAGGTGTACACATTTCTTTGCTTCTCAGTCTGCCTGTGTGTGAGTACCTTCTCTCTCTCCTTGCTGGCTGCTCTGTGGTGGTCAGACCGAGGTGCCTCTGGAGCGACCACTGTCTTGACGGGCTCCTCGCCCAGCAGAGAGCGAAGAAACAGCTCCGTCTCCGTCAGGCTGTAACTACACAAACGATTAAACACATGTACAAGTCAGTCAGGACTATATCAAACACATGATATCAAACAAAGCAGATAATGACTTCACAGTCTCTGTCCAAAAACTGTTCTCTCACTTGTGGTTTCTGAAGATGTCTTGGAGAAAGTGCCGGTCTATAGTGGGGAAAAGGGAGAACAGTTGGTTTTCTTTCATGAGGGTGGCTCCGTCCCGCCGGTCGAGGTCAGCACGACTCTCTCTGGTCTGACAGAAGGAGGGTTTGAAGAGGGTTGAGGATGTTGGTACCAGAGAAGAACGTAGCGGGATGATGTTATTCGAGATGTTTGTGAGACTGACCTTTTCCACGTTCTCCTGCAGGGCCTGCTGCTCTTTTATGATTTCTCTGAGAGAGACGTGTGGGCGGGACACACTCCAGTGGTCCATGAACGGGATGTGATTCCGGCTCTCTGGTTGGCCGTCCGCCGTCGTGTAACCATCTGCACTGATCAGGAAACGAGCTTGCTGTGTCGGGTCTCGCGGTCCTGGTTTGACCTCCTGTGACTCACCCCAGTGTACTGAACCTTTAACCATTCAGAGGTCAACATTCAGTGTTAGTGAAACTTGATGATGTTATGTCTAAGAATGATAGATCATATCGGGTAGTAAAGTTAAAGATAAAGATAAAATTTATTGATCCACCATGTGGGGAATTTTTTTTTGTTACAACAGCCGAAGAATCTGGAATATAATTATCAAAAATAACAAAAGGTTAAAAAACAAACATATGTACATCAATTAAATAAAGGGAGAAAAAATACATTAATAGAATAATTCAAGGTATGTACACATCCACTTGTGGGAGGAGTTATTATTAAAAACACACCCTAGTAGACACCCTCGTCGTTCAATGTTTGAACAGGACAATGCAAGTCAACACTGTCGCAGCCACAATGATTGTTGATTTCAGGGATTTTAAGTGTGTGTGTGTGTGTGTGTGTGTGTGTGTGTGTGTGTGTGTGTGTGTGTGAACTTACTCTCCTGAAGCAGGTGAAAGGACAGAGTTGCTTGCCTCTGCTTTTCCTGTAAAACAACATTCACACGTCAGGCTAACAGACTTGGACTCGGTGAAATATGTTTCCCTAACACTCAGTCTGCTGCAACATCTGACTTTGGTCACTTGGGGGCAGTAGAAACAAGATTTGAACACAACACTGACTGAACGTCATCTTTAAGGGCAGATTACACATTTGTTTAAGCAACCAATTAATTACAAAGCAACCTTTTCAGTCTTGTTTGTGTCCCCCCCTGAGGAATATAAATCTTACATTCACTCTCCATTATCTCTTCTTCTGGTCTCTAGAATCTGACTCTTGAGCTGCCAAATGCTCCTTTTTGTTTACCAGCTTTCCTCTCTATGTGTCTGTACTCTCTTTAGTCTTGAGCACCTAACCTTTTTTTCCAGTCTGCTGCGGCCCATAATTACCAGATCAAAGCAGAAACAGTAAACAAAAACAAAACAAGTTACACCTGGAAGTCTAAACAATGGGCTAAATTACAGATGTGAAGTTTAGTTTAGTTTAGTTTAGTAGTTTTTTCCCTGACGAAGACAAGACACTGATGAGCTGAAAAATGCAGGTGTGCGTATGTGTGTGCGTATGTGTGTGCGTTAGTCAAAACACAGACTCAGTATATGATGATCTGTAGGTTCATAAGTACTTGCTACCACTGTCACATTTTCACATGATAAAAAGTTATGATAAAGATATTGATCATAGCACACATGAGGGCTCACCTGAATGGTTTCCTTCCACTTCTGGTGGAGCAGCTTGGCCAGGTTCAGGTCCATCTGCACTGCATAGTCATCAGAGGAGCACGTACCTGAACATTAAGGACCAGAGAGGATGAACACTCTTGTGTGTCAGATCTGAGTACCACTACACTTCAAAATGTCTGAATGCGTCAGAATGTTTCACACAGATTGTCTAACAGTCGAGTGCAGCATGTTTTGTAATTTTACTAATCATTACAGATTCATAACCACACCATGAAGTAAGAAGTTAAGAAGTGTAGTTTCCATCGTTACACACACGTGTTCTAGTTACCTGGATCTACTCCAACAGGACCAAACAGCTCAGTAAGCTGTAGAGCCACCTCAGTGGACAGTTTCAGCTCCACGCTCTGAATGTTCAGGTGATGGCTCCTCCTCTCATTCTTCTCCTTCTGTTTTCCCTCTCTCTCCATCTCTGCGAGCTCGGCCTGCAGCAGCCGGTGGGCCTCGTCCATGCTGGCGATCTCTTCCTCGATCTCGACTCTCGACTCCTCAATTATGACGCCGTTGTCAAAGCTAACGCCCCAAGCAGCGCCTTGGAGGTCCACATCTGATGCGGCCTCTCCTGTGTTCAGTGCACGAGGTGGATCACGTTCTGTTTCAGGGAATCTTTCCGACGCTGTGTGCGAATGATCCGCGTTTGGAACTGGAACAGCTGCACCCCCAAAACCAAGGACATTATCATCACTGGAGCTCACATCTGACTTTTGAACTGCGCTATAGGTTATCTGCTCGCTCCCTTTCTCAACAGCTGCCGGAAAATCTTCAGTGGGAAGCTCGTCCAACACACTATCACATAACCTCGTTTCTACAGCTTCACCTACAGCCGCACACAAACCCGATGGGTCCTGCTCTTCTTCATCCTCCTCCATCTCTTTCTCGCCATCCTCATCTTTGAAGAACCTCTCTCCAGAGTCCAGCAACAGGTTGGTGGTCCAGTCTAGGTCCTGGTGGCATTTGTCGTACAGATCTTCCAAGGTATCAAAACTAACCAGTTTGAAATGGCGACTGAGGATGCGCAGGCTCTCGAGGCGGTCTTGAATGGCCCCGAACTCTTTCTCTTCCACCTGTGTACCTTTCTCGTGAGCCACGTGATAGGGCACCTCCTTGTGGCCGGACGGGTGAACTGCAACCGCTGCAGAAACGGCGGAAGACAGCTCGGGCACGAAGCGGGAAGATTCCCCAAAGAGGACTGTGATGTCACTGCGCAGAGTGACGCCTGCGTCGACCGGGCTGTCTAGACGATTGAGACGCCACAGGCGGGCAAAGTCTTGAGGTTCCGTCTGTGTTGGGCGGCCTGTGTCGACCGCAGGAGGAGACGGGGAGGGAGGCTGCAGACGTACCTCACATTTGGAGAGTGTGAACAGGTCAAGCTTCGGTTCAACATCTGCATTCAGAATATTTACACTGTTGTTGTTTGTACTTCCAGCCCCCTCCAGAGTATCAGGGGAGGACGCAGGGCAGTTCTGAGTAAAAGTCAGGGCTAGCTTACACTGTTTACCCGATCTACGACCCTGGCGCTGCTTCCTCTCCTGACTGCCTCCACACAGGGGATTACTTTCTGTTTCCACGGAGCCCTCGCACACAGGACTCAGAGACACCTCGCTGACATGCCCTCCATCACCCTCAGTTCTAGACTCTGCGTAAGTCTGGTTTCTATCATCTGACTGGTACTAGGCTCCATATCAAAGTCACCTTCGACATTTGGACTCCCCTTGTCGTCTTTGGAGACACTCACCTCTGCATTTTCGGAGATTAACAGTAAATCAGCAGAGGGGGGATTTGTTTGGTTAGACAATTGTAAATCCACAATCCCAGTTTCTCCGCGGATTTCTAACAGATTTTCAATCGCTCTAGAGGAAAGTCCTGATTCCATGATCCTACAGGAGTCCGCTGCCTTCCAGTCTAACACACAGTCAGGTAACTCACCTCTGCTGCTGTCAACCCTGTTCATATTGTCTTCTCTCTCCTCACTGTTAGACCTAACGCTCCTGGATTCCTCTAACATAACCACCTCCTCCTCCTCCTTCTTCTTCTTCTTCTTCTTTGCAGATTCCTCTCCAGAGCTCGAGGAAACAGAAGACGAGCACGAGCTGGTCTGCATAGTAGCTACCCCCGTCTGAATAAGATCAAGAAGCTTCTGAAACTCTGCCACATTGGGCCCTGGCTTCCTTCTTGTTTTATGCTTGTTAGCTTCTCGAGACACATCTCATCGTCCTTTTCACTCCCTTCTTTCTGCCGCTCTCTTCTCCTGACCTGGCGCTGCTGGAGAGACCCTTCAGAGGGCCAGTCTCCAACAAAATTCAACATCTCCTGCGTTCCCATTGTTGCCTCACCCCGTTCTGCTCCCTCCTCTTCTGTCTTCTCTGTCTCCTTTGCCTCCCCATCTGATTGGTTGGTGTCTTTCAAAAGATCTGCCGGCTCTAAGTTGTCAAAACCAGACCTCCTGCTGGTTCTCTCCCTCCTCACTCGTTGTCCAATAGACTCAGAGAAAGCCACAGGCACTTCTTCCGCACGGTGATCTTCGTTCATTACTGATTCCACGATACAGTCCGGGATACTCTGATCACCTGGACGACTCAGCTCTAACCGGGCGTCTAACTCAGAATCTAACTCGCCCAAATCCATCTCATCATCCCTGTCTGCAGATTGGTTGGCGGCGTCTTCCAGTCTCTCGACCTCAGTAGAGCGAGTGATCGATGAAATGTCAGGGAGGGAAGAGAACAGCTGTGGGTGGGATTTCTTATAACCCCCAGTCGATTCAGACTGCCCCACCAGGTCAGGACACGGTTGTTCAGAGGATTCAGGCCTGAAGAGAGAGAGAGAGAGAAAAAAAAACACTTATTAATGAATGGAACAGTCAACACAAATAATGACGCTCGCTCGATGACCAATTGAGTTTTGGATTTAGATAATTCCTTTGAAGAAGATGTTTTGAAACACATGTTTTTAACACAGAAAAGCAGGCAAAGCAGAATTATCCTGAGACTGTGTTTGCGCCAAACCTTACATTGACAGTACATGCTGTTTGTTTTTGTTTTTTTCTTTAATTGCTCAGGTGTATAAAGCTTAAAGCAGATGAGCTGCACTCACTGTGAATCTCCGTTCTCCTGAAGGTTGCGCTGTTTTTTGCAGTCAGGCATCTGCGAACCCATGATGGACTGGACTGAGACGAAGCGCTCGTATCCGTCAAGCATGCGTCGAATTTTCTCCCATGGCACACTATGTTTGGAACGCCTGCATATGCATTTGGACACACACAAACACTTTTCATAAAACTGTTCCAGAAGCAATTTTTTTTCCTCTTTTTGTCACAAATATCCAGGCTGAAATTCTACATTTTAAAAAGATGAATCCCTCTCACCTCTCCAGCTCTCTAGGCTTGTTCTTCCACCACGTGTCCGGCTCTCGAAACAGCACCTTGTATCCATGTTTCAGTGCCTGGGACAGACAGGAGAGCAACAAGAGCTGAAGCCTTATGGATGAACCGTTTCATGAATCATATGTTTTGATATGTTATGTTATGTTATGTTATGAAAGGCAATGCTATGCTATGTTATGTTATATCTTATCATTATCCTCCAGAGCAATGAGCGTTTCAGCAGAATGTGAAAGTGACAAGACAAATGTTCGATCGTGTTGACTGACCTGAGCCACGTAGGGTTTCATCTCCCAGCCTTGCATGTTAGTGTTGTCAATGATGATGGGGTTAATGCACCTTTCAAACGCCACCGTGGCTGTGGAATAAAGTTCACACACGAGAGAAAGCGTTTGTTGCTTCAGTGTACTTGTGTTTTGAAAAAGCAGCACTTCTGATGGAACAATGGCAATCAATGTCATAGATAAAAACGGATTATCAGTCACAAAGGAGTTTTGATGAAACGCTTCTTATCAACACTGAGAGTGTGTTGTTTACCTCGTTTATGGTTCCACTCATGGGCCTCCCCAAGGGCACTGGGGTCAAACCGATATCTTCCATGGTTTGTGAAAAAATCATCAGTGCTCAGCGTGACTCCCCCAGGGTTGTTCTCAACCAAGGCTCTGTACACACACACACACACACACACACACACAGATAAGAACAGTTTTCAAATAAGGCAATCCACATTCTTATAGCTATAGAATAAGCCCATGAATCCTGAGCAAGAATGCCTTTCATATAAGACTCTACTTGTACATTTGTATTTAACTATCTCAGCACTTACAAATCTGATTGTTTTATTCTCTCTGTTAACTTTAATGTGATACTGTTGGGAAGCTATTTTTCTAGACAAACATCACTGTCTGTATTGGACATAGATTCAAACAGTGGCTACAACACTGCACACTGAGGTTTAATGTATATAAGATTCAACATGAACAATAGTTGCTGTGCTACATAAACCTGCAACCTAAAACCTGTCTCTTATAATTTGGATGTAACTTTCTTTGACAACACTTTTTCCAGAGTTTTATGACCCTTAGTTTTCAGTCTTGACCTTGGCACTCACAGAAGACAACATCAGAGGCTTAACAGTGTTCACTTTATTACCATCGAACCAAGTCTCCGCTTGCACTGCACTCCTGTACAGCAGACAGGAGTGATTAGCACATTACGAGTATCTCAACATTCTTACCTCGCCAGGGTTGATTTGCCAGACCCTGGAGCACCACGCAGCAGCACAAGGACCTTCCCCTCCAGACGCAGCCTGTTGTGCTGGGCCGGAGGATGAGACGCTGCGTGCAGGGCCCAGGACTTTGGAATGGTTGCAGAGGGTTTGAGAGGTGCTTGACTGGCAGGGCCCTGACTCATCCAGGGAGAGGGATTTCTGGGTAGGCTGGGCCAGCTGGGCGGCGCTTGAGCCACCGGGGTAATGAAGGTTGGCCTGTGGTTTTCATGGAAACGGGGAGAAAACACTGGCGCCTCTGGGTTCCAGGATGATGGCATGTAGCCAAACAGCTCCTGGTTAAATGTGTTCACCTTAGATCTAGCTCCACCGACAACAGTATTAGAGGAAACGGCGGCCCCGGCAATGTTTGTGGAAGGCTGTGAAGAGTCTTGCTTTTTATACACCTGAAAGGCTGAGGGGCGCCCTGACGCCGCCAGGTCCAACGGAGGTTTCGACGCGTCTGCACACGACTCTGTCATCAGATGTGTGAAATTAACCATGGACTTCGGCTCCTCAGGGATCTTGTCTTCCCAAGTGCTGAGCCGGTCAAGAGGAGAAGAAGCCCCAGGAATACTCTCCACCTGGCCACCCACTGGGCCTTGCTGCTGGACAGAGGAGCCTCTAGATCCAGGCCGCAGGCTGGACTGAAGCAGCTCCGGGAGGTCCTGCTGTGGGAATGATGGCTGAGGGAAAGAAGATAAATACTGGCTGCTTTGATGCTCCGCACTAATGTCTTGTTGTAGGGTTAGGGTCTCTAGCTCCTGATCGACCAGCAAGTCCAGCTCTTCTGTCAGAAAGGGAGGAGAAGAGATCAGCTGTGATCGTTGGGAGGAATACGTGTCCGGTGTAGGCTGGTGACGCGGGCTGAGCAGGGCTGCAGCAGTGAGCTCAAAGCCAGAGACAGGAGAAGGTATGGGTGCTGCCACTTCAGCCGCCACGGACAGCTCCAACAGAGAGTCCATTGCATTTTCAACTAGAAGGAAAACAGAGAAACAGAGAAACAATCAATAACATTTAAGGTGCTAAAAACCAAATGCTCCATCAAATCACTCAAAATAAACTAATCAAGCCTCATAGTAATGCTATAATCACCAAAACCAACGTACGACTACCTTTCAATCTTACACAATGGGTGTTTTCAGACCAAATAGTTCTGTGGACTTTTTGAAGAGGAACTATCCAGGAGGGAGTTTCCCTGAGAATACCTAATGACAAGGAAGTTTCTTTTGCTATACAGTGATTTGATTCAGGAGTTTAGGATATGAAAACAACAAAAACAAAACACAGCTATCCTCCTTTCAACACTTTGAGTTACAACTAATTTTATTTAATGGGATGAATGCAGTTCCAGAAAATGTTTACTGTTGTTTGGCCCACAACAGAGTATAAATGGGAGCAGATAAAAGTGCAGTGAAGGTACTTTGTGACAAATATGAGAGCGCTCATGAGTGTCAATTGTTGAATTCTTATTACATCACCTTTTCTAGGCAGGACTGAGAGTCACCTGACTGTAGATAAGCGAGTATGCATAGTGTAATTGTTTTGCAGGTGTGTCCTTGCAGTCTTTTTACATGACTGATTGCTATTTCAACTTTTTGTAAATACCCAAGGGGGGAGAAGGGGGGGGGGAGTTGGATTTTACACTCTGTTGTTGAGACATGCGAGACACACATAGGCTGAATTACACATGCGCAAACATGAACCTACAGTATGGACATGCACTAACAGAGAGAAGTCAGGAGTGGGAGTGGGAGTGGGGGCTCAACACAGACGCAACAGGTGGTAAAGCAAGAAATGCGAGGTGCAGTTTTTACATTTACTGGTAATACTTTTATATTATTATAGCCAACCACTGCAAAGAAAACAAAACTCAGAAATACAGTGCTAGGAAGCTAACCGGGTTGCATAGTTAATTTAAATAGCTTGGCCTGGAGTTGCACAGCAGGTATAACAACAGTGAGAAGGTTACCTTTAAAATCACACTCGGACAGCACGATGTAAATCACTTCAGGGTCGAGGTGTGAGAACATCTCCTGCATGCTTTTCACGATGTCCTCCTTGCCTGAGCTGGAGAGCGACGAGCTGGGTATGAAGTTGTTCACCATCGAGCCGTCAAATCCCTGAGGTAGTCGGCTGCCCGTGCCGTGGCCGAGGCTCCCTCCCTCTGACGGCCCGCCGGGAACTCTGGCCGGGCTCTGGCCGTTCTTCTTCCTCCGAGGCATCCTGTGGCCCCTCCGGTTGCTCTCGCCGAGCTAGCTGCGTAGCCGAGGAACCACAGAAATGCGTCCTGAATCAGAAGACATTCCGATGTTTTCGTCAAGTGGAGTGAAAACAGTGAGAGATCTGAAGGTTATGACACTCTAACAGCACTCCAAGTGGCGGAAATACGAGCGGTACAACAAAAACTGTGCCGAGTGCGCCCGAAGTCCGCCCGAAGTCCGCCAACAGAAGTTTAACGCCGGTGTAACGCAGCCGGAACCTTCAAAATAAAAGTCTCTAACAACATGGTTCCCCCCCATACTACGGAAGAGGATTAGGGCCATGTGGAATAAATTATGACAGGAGAGGAAACATATGAAATGCCACATAATAAACACATATTAAACATATAATAAACATATTTAAGAAACTTAAAAATTAAAAAAATAAATTAAAAAATCACAATTTCGAAAATAAAGTCAAAATCTCACGAAAGTGTATTTCATCTTCATTCCCGGCATTTGCAAAAGTTTCTACAATATCTCAACTTAAAGGTGCACTATGTAGATTTGGTAGTGAAAGGTAAAAGTTGGAGAAGTGAAACAATTCTATGCTATATTTTCTGAACTAAATACACAAAATGTATTCGAAGGAAAAAATGGGTCACTCAACACTGAGATTAAAAAAAAAGATACCAGGAGAGTTACGGTTTCACTGTTGTGTTGTAAATCTTCAGACTGTGTTACAGGGATCAAATTTTCCTCTGAGGACAGTTTGTGTATAGAGTTATGAACATATACCACATAATCTGTACATTTCTCCAACTTTCACATTTTTCTACCAAAACACCTTTAATTCTCTAATTTGTATTTTAACTTTCTTACTGTCATTTTCACTTTTTCACAACATTTCTACTTTAATATCTACAATATCTACACAATATCTACGAAAAGAATTCTTCCTCCTGTCTTTATTAATTTCTCACACATCCTCTACCGTACCAAACAGCCTTTTAATAGCATGAATTGTTGAAAATTTGGCGATTTCTTTAAACATAAGAATATTTAGCAATACAAATCTTTTGCAAATAATTATAATTCGATCAAAGTTTTAATAAAGCAAAATAACGTTTATGAATGAAAATGTTAAGAATCAGAAGTAAAGGAACTCCACCTCCCTGTCATTGTTAAATGTTCAGATTTTAATCTGGAATATAAATGCTGCATTACATTGTCATCCTAATGTATCTCTAAATGTTAAGACAACAGCAACAAACTGACAGATAATGTCGATTTAATAGGAACATTTTTATTAGTTATAGGATGTAACATTCTTAGTATAAATACTCTAAAATTGTACTTTATGACAGCACTGAAGTAAGTTGTGTGGCCATAAGGCTGTAGCCATTACATAATTTGAAATACCCATAAATAACTTGATAATAATAATACTAATAAATTGTATAGAAGTATAGAAGAGAGTAGCCTTTATAAAACAGACTGCATGGCTTCAGTGCATAAATGAAATTAGTAACAGGTAATTGTGTGCTATGACAAGCTTACCCCTTATTAATATATTTTTTTGTCTTTCCTTTTTCATAGTCCTATTTCAGTGTTGAAAACATGGCCCATTTCTGGTCCCCTGGTTTAAACAACCATGTATCAATGACCTCGTGATGTAGTACTGTAAAAAAAACACAAAAAAACACAAAAAAAAGAGTAGGATATTAATTTAAGTAAGTATTAAGTATTGCAAAAAAGTGTTACTAGACTTAATACAAAAAATACTGTTCTGGATACAAATAAAATTACGATTACATTAATCAAAATGTTTTATTAAGAATAATTGGCTGTCTACTCACCGTTATAGTGAATAGTTTCTGCGGATAATATGTCTACACTCAAGCACTTTAACTTATGTCAATACTCTGTTTTTGCACATTTACATTTTAATCTTTCATATTTAAGACTAGTAATGCTAAATTAAATCCTGGATGTATATATTCTCATTCTTACTTTTGATATTTTTAGTGCTTATTTACTTTGTATTTAATATTATATTGTGTTTAAATTTGCTAATATTGTGTTTTTTGCTCATATTGCTGCTGTAACGCCACAATTTCCCAGTTTGGGATCAATAAAGTAATTCTATTCTATTACAATAGCTGTTTTTTTCCTCCATGATATAATATATATAATTATATCACCATACATGTGTGAATTCTAAGAGGAATATAACTATTATAAACACAAACTGTAATAAAATGTAAAGCGTCAGGTCGTCACGATAAACGGATTCGGGGTGTTGAAAACAGAGAGTGTAATAAGAGTGCGACCTGACTCCCGCCATGTATCTGGAGGCTGCAGTACCCGCTTGAGACCAAGGAGGGCGCTGTGCCCCCAGCCTTCAACACACACAGACAGGACTGACTGAACGGACGGAGAGCTTTGTGCCGAAAAACTAAACCCAACCTGTGTCAGACTAATGAATTAAAACGGGCCACTCGAGAGGTAAATACTCACAAAGAAGACGCTCGGCAAAATATCCCGCGGTCGTAGTTGAAAGTGTGTGTTTGAAAATAGATTAATTTGGCATTTTTTTTTATGTGGTTGCTGAAAATCATCCGTGAGGGGGGCAAGTTGTTTTAGTGAGAGAGAGAGAGAGGGGCGACGGTAGCAGCCCTTCTTCTTCTTCTTCTCCTCCTTCTTCTTCTTCTTCTTCTTCTTCGCCTGTAAACTAGCGGCAGTACGGAGCGATGCGTTGAAGTTGGGGGAAAAAAAAGAACAGTAACAAGTAAATAAGCTTCGTTGTTTTTAACTTCACAAAGTAGTTGAATTTAGTTGTAAACACGCGGATTTTGATCACGATCATGTGTGTTTTTTTTAAGGTGTGGGGGGGGGAGATAAAAAATAATACTTCACTTCCTCTGTGGTAGTCTGTAGCTGGGAGATGTGATGGGGGGCTACCTGAGTAGTTTGCGGCCTATGCTAACCACTTAGCCACCACTGCTAAGCTACATTAGCCGCTCGCTGCTAACGCTGCTTCCCGCTAGTCGCTCACCGTGTTTGCATTGCAACGAGCTAGCTGGCTAATTTCAGGACCTTGTATGACAGTAGCCAACACACACACACTCACACACACACTCACACACACACACACCGGTCGTGTTTCACACCTTTTTTTCCCCCAGGCTGGACATCCAACAACTTTGCGGTGTAGGGAGCTGTAAGGTTAGCGGAACTCCTGCTCAGCTTGTTTTCAGCAGCTGCACAATATTAGACGAGACATTTTTTTTGCGGGGTGAAATATGGAAGTGGTGTTTAGCTGAGGGTGCTTTAGCATGCACGCTGATGATAATGCACTAGCCCTGCTTTTTGATGTCAGAAAAGTTTTCAAGAATGTGATGTGCAGCATCAGTTGCTGTCACTTTGTGAAGGGGTGGGGGGTTAACGTTGGGTGGTGTGCAGAAAGGGAGTGATGCTTACAGGAAAAAAAAAAAGAAGGGTTTTTTTTTTTTGATAAGTGCGGTAGCATGGTTGTGTTGAACTTTTGTTTTCTGACCCATAGAGGCCAGTAGAAGACCGTGTGGACTCTGCACGACAACAAGCATGGAGTTCCCGCAGCAGCAGAAACCGGCGGGGGACGGAAAGATCACCTATCCGCCCGGAGTGAAGGAGATCACGGACAAAATCAGCAACGATGAGGTGGTCAAGCGGTTGAAGGTATGTCTGCCCGTACAGCCAGATGTGTGTGTTTTGATAGTGTGACCCCCCCCCAAGAATAGAATAGATGTTTATTGCCATTTGCACAGGGACAGGACAGGTACATTGGAATTCTTATGCGTTTCTCCCTGAGTCAGCTTCTACAAAAAAAAAAGTAAAAATTATACATAAAATAGAAAAGCTTTATAAGAAAAAAAAAGAGTAGAAAAGTACAAAAAAAAGGTTGTTTTTTGTTTTTTGTTGTTGTAACAGTTAAGTGATTTAAAATAAACTGTGCAGAAGTTATACACTATTAAAGCAAAGATATAATACATTTATCAATAATAATAATACTTTTATCAATAATAATACATTTATCAATAATAATAATAATAATACATTTAATTTGTAACGCACTTTAAATTTTTGCACAAAAAAAATCTCAAAGTGCTACAGGAAGAAAAAATAGAAATAAAAACAAATTTAATCAACTAACGAAACTGAAAGCACAAGGATACGATAGGATAAAACTTTATTGATCCCCAGAGGGGAAATTCGGGCGTTACAGCAGCACAGACAAGAAAGCTCAAAAATACACATTAAACAGAATAGATAAATAAAAATAAAAACAGGGGTTATATACAGTACAAAATGAATGATGAAGTTAACTGGGGAGAATTGAGACAGTAACAAGCAGAAGGTGGGTTTTTAGGGCCCTTTTTAAAAGCGTCAGCAGACTGTGGAGCCCTCAGCTGCTCGGGGAGAGCGTTCCACAGACTGTGGAGCAGAGGAGCAGAAGGCCTGGTCACCCATGGTTTAGTCCTGGGGGGGGATGAAGGAGGTTGGTGTTTCCAGAGCGGAGGCTTCGTGTGGAGGATTGTGGGGTGAGGAGTTCTTTGAGATAGAGGGGGGGCATTTCCATGGGTGCACTGGTAGGTGAGAAGGGTGACTTTGTGTTGAATGAAATAGGGAGCCAGTGTAGTGTCTGAAGGAGGAGTGGGTCCATCAGGACCCTATACAATACAATATATTGTAATATAATACAAAGAAAAATAACAAGGGGAACACTGTACAATGAAATGAAAATATAAATAAGTTTTCTTATTGCACTTATTATCTCTTATTGCACCTGAGGTTATTGCACAAATATTGTTCACATTATATAATTGCGCTGTTTTTAAGGTTAATATTGCACACTTGTATTGCACTGTGAAGCATAGAACAATGCCAAACCTTCCTAACTTTGTGAACTTCTGTATCTTAATTCATAAGAGGCTGTGAGTCCCTAAGGGATATGATGATGATGATGAATTTATTTTCGTGTCATGCACACAAAGTGCCAACCCTCATGGGCTTATAAGACACCAAAGAATTCAGTTGCAGTGGTTCACATTTCAAAATCCTAACATTACAAAGTTGCCGGCTCCTGTCAAAGTTCAGTCTTAAACAACGTGTTCTGTCTTTTTTCCCCAGGCTTTACAAACAAAATCTGCTTTAACAAAGGTTCCTTTTTTAAAACACAACTCAAGTTTTTCATAATCGTCTAACCAAAAGAAATCAACATAATTTGAAGACATTCTTTTAAAAAGAACATCCCTGATGTCAGCATACATCGGGTAGTAAAACAAAAAGTGAATCTCGTTTCCAATTTCTCCTAACTCACAAACAAACTGAACTCCTCTGGAATGGAATTAAACCTAGAGATTGTTTGTCCACTCACATCCCTTTTTATTGAGAGTGTTGCCTCTGCAAAAAAAAAAAGTACTTACAAGCATGTTATTGCCACCAGATTAATAAGTGGCCAAACTTTACAGCAGCTCATCTCATACCCTAAAGGCTGGAAACATAGGATGATCCCAAAATGTCAGTTAAAGTAAAGCAAACATAACATGCTGTAGCTACAGAACAGTGACCCATATTTGCATCAAGCCCTCCTTTAGAAACAATTTACAACATTTACATATTATTGTCTTCTAAGTCAACATGACAAACTTGTTAAAAAAACGTGTACACAAAGCATTTTGTAAGCAGCATTACCACTCATTTAACCTGCGTTGGGTCACCTGTTCAGTGTGAGTCCAGTATTTTATCCTTGTAATTAGGGAAGCACCGATGCATTGGATCGGCCGTGTTGACAGACATTGGCAAGTAATGTGGTATGAGCCAATGTCAGCAGCTGATGTGTATTTGTTGTGTTTTATCAATTTCATGATGCCATCTATTACACCTATCTGCTGAACAGTGCCGATTCAGAGAAGAGGTTGTTGGACAAACTCTGTTCTGTTTTTCGTGGTCAAACATGAGAGAAAATGTTGTCATTGTGGGAGTCTTACACCTTGAAGATGTAATGAAAAAACATTGGTTTCTGCATTCGGCTAAATTGTTATGGTAAACATCGGTAATGGCCGTGATCGCTGCATCCCTACTTGTAATCTTTTCTAAATTTTGACCAAGTCCTGAGAGAATAAAATGGTTTTATAAGATGCTCAATGCACTCCTTTGTTCACCACCTAGTCCCTAACTGTATCTGTGTTTGGGCTTTTACACTGTCACAGCCGAACTTTCCCTCTGACTTCACCAGGAGTTCCTCCTGAGTCCTGCCAGCCCCCTAGTTATTATTTTCAGCAGCAAGTCTGAGTGATCTGATTGGGGAAAAAGCAGCAGTTATTAAACGGAGAATTCACCTGGAGTGAGTGGCAGAGGGTAGTGACATTTATATCTTGTGACTGGTGAAGTTTTGTGCACATAAATAAACTGCTGCATCATGTTTTCTGTTATCCAGTATGTTGTTCTCCGCTCTTATGTTGATATTGTGATGCCGTTGAACTACACGTAGCATTGATATAAGGCAAATACCCTCGTTATAGTGTCATATAGCGGTCTCTGTTGCTTTGTCTGCTGCTTCCGTGTCACTTCTCAACTCAGGAGACACCCCCCCCCTTGTCTGACAGGGAGGGTCTCCCACTGTAAGGTGCATATTTGAACAGCCAGGCCAGGAGAATCTCCTCAGATTATCTAGATATTTTCAGGAGTGCATATGTGAAGACAGCCTGTGTGTCTTGGCCTGCTCTTCACCAGTCTTTCACATTGCTGTCGGGTGATGTTATGTCACTCTTGTCGTAAAAAACAAATCATGCATTTCGGTTGTTTGATGGCTGTTCAGCTGATCACCATATCAGTACGTCATTGATGGGGCGGCTGTGGCTCAGTGGTAGAGTCGGTTGTCTCTCAACTGGAAGGTCGGGATTTGATCCCCAGCTCGATGTGTTCTTGGGCAAGATTCTAAACCCCAAGTTTCTCTGGCTGCTTTGTCAGCGGCGTATGAATGGGATTAGATAATACTGATGGTTACTGTACATAACTGCCTCTACCATCAGTGTGTGAATGGGGAGGTGTTATCTGCGGTGTAAAAGTGCTGTGACTAGTCAGAAGACTAGAAAAGCACTCTACAAGCTCAAGTCCATTTCCCCATAGACCTTTGAGTAGAATGAGGTGAATTTCTGTTGAATTCAAAACAGGCATTGTAATCCAATGGCTTCCATGCATGTAGAGATGTTAAAGTAAGGAGAATTTGGAGTGGTTTCCAGAGATGTTTATGGATCCCATGACACTCATTCCGAAAGGTTTTTCTGACATCCTAGAGACGGTTAAGCACTTTGACTTTTAAGCACATAAGCTTTAAATAAACATGCTGTGTCTTAATTGTATGTCCTGTAATCCAGGCACTTGACTGATAAAAGACTTTTGTGACATATGTTGTACTGCCAGTAGGGCAACAAGTCAGCAGCAGACAGGTTATCATATAAGGCTGACGTCCCATTTTATACAGTCAATTCATCTACAGTAAGCTGCTGTCATAAATAGTTTGACCCCTTTCCTGTGGTAAGTAGGAGAAACATTTCTACACATTTGACACTGCAGGGTTTATGTTCTTAAAAACAGTTTCATTGTTTTTGCCCATTAGTCAAATAAAACTGCAACCCACTGCCATGCTCTCTGAAAGTTACTTTTTAAATATACATTCAGCAGCTGCTTCTTTTGGGACCCCGTGTAAAATCTAATATAACAGTTCTTGTTATGAAAACCCTTCAGAATAAAGCAGTCCAGTTCAACACTACTGCCAACTACAACATCTATGGAGATCAATTAATGCCTAGCACTATTCAGATTGGCTGTTCAAAGTGTGATAATTACGCCCCTGACACAAGTTCACCTTCAATTTGGACGTCTTATTTAAGGCATAATGGGGTGACCAAGTTGTCACACCTCTGTGCCGGCATCTGAGGTAGTGATACAGGTGCGGCAGGGGTGAGACGGGATCACTGTAAGACTGCCAGTGGGGTCATACAGCACTGTGTGTGTCTGTATGTCCTGCCTCTCGTGCTTCCATGACGTACATAAGCAGATTCTATTACAGAGCTGTTCACACAAAAAATATCATTACAGTCTTTTTGTTAAGTTCTACATTATACTAATCATCTCGCATTACATTGTGTTTGCTTTTTTTGCCTGGCTTTCTCACATTTTTAAGTAATATATATTGTTTCAAGTTGTTAGTTTGTGTTGGACTTCAATTGCAATGGTTATTAGTTCCCCCCCTTTTCTTTCTGGAAAAAGAAACAAGATGTGACTACAGTATTTTATCCCTCCAGTCTTGGTGCATAAGCTCCTACTGCTCTGTAGCCCTTTTTACAAACTAGCCGACTAAACGGTTAACATCACCCTCGCTATTCTTACATGTTGGCCTACAATGCCGCTCAAATCCTCAAACTGTAACGCCTGCTCCTCTAGCTCTACTGCCTTGATGTAAATAAGCACAGTTAACTGATAGCATCTCATAGGACTAGCGATGAGGTAGTATTTTGATCAAGATAATTACGTGTCATGTTAAATATCATATTTTCTGGAGCAATGCGTAACCACATTTAGCACAGGCTAACATTAGCCACGCTCAGCAACTAAATTACATTGTTGTCCTGCAGAAAGTGGTAAATAATTGTGCCCAATGTTGACTGCTTTCCGATTGTTTTAGTATCTAAAGAATTGCTGGGGAGACTGAATTTAACTTTCCACTTCACAGACTTGAAAATTAGTCGCCGGGAACATTTTTCACATACTGTATGTTCTCCTATTCCGCAAATTGTTGTTTGCACATTTTACATTCCTGCGTGATCTTGTAGTTCTCCTGTGATCTTGTAAACCTGTTTGTACAACTGCTCATAACTGTGGTCACGCTCCAGAAAAAGAGCCAGTGGGGCATGGCGCACATTGGTTGCACGTCAGTTGCAAAATGTAAATGTCATCAGCCCACTTGCTCGCTGTTAATTTTCCTGACTAAAACATTCTGCGTTCTCACATCAACTCCCCCCTACTATACAAGGCAGGGTGAAATACTTTGCTTTTTTGTGAATGTTTGGATAGAGCTTGTGTTGTGTGTTTTTTAAAAAGAGCAACAGGGGTGTCTGTTTGGCTCAGCGGTTGAATTGTGCTCCTCATGTGCAGAGACTACAGTCCTTTTAGACTGTCCTGGGTTCAAGTTCGACCCTCGACTTTCGCTGCACGTCTTTCCCCCACTCTCCCCTCGCAGTATTTCCTGTCACTCTGCTCTGTCATATTGATAAAAACCTACAACGGCCAAAAATATCTTTGGGGGGTGAGTGAGGGAGCAAGCAGTAGATCTGGTACAATGACATTTGGTATGAAGCTTTTTTGGAAACTTTTCGACAATTACGGGCAGTCAGGGAAGGCCTGCTTGAGAAACAGACAACTAGAGAGTAAGGTCTTTTAGGTGCTTTTTGTAAAGGGTCTCCAGATAACATTTGTTATGAATTGGTGCTATACAAATAAAGATTGAGAGTTTGAAAGTTTGTCAGGTGCCAAAACTTTGTGCAGGAGTTCATATTTTGGATTGGTAATTTAAAAATCTGGAAAGATACTAGAACACCAATTTTGTCTCCAATAGCGCTTTTCACAAGGTATACAGGAGACATGCCTTTTTGTTTTCTGAAGTAATGAACCAGGTATGACGGCTTGTTCAACTCTCAGTGAAGTACATAAAGCGTATTTAACAAGCTGCATTTCTGGATCACATGACATTTTCATCTGCAAAAGTTGAGCAAAGCTTTTCTTTTCTTTTTTCTGGACTCTTATGTTGACCGGTGCTCCCTGCTTCACCGCTCCACAGTGCCTGTCACAATGATGTGAGTGGTGAGGGGGCAGGGTTTTTATTTTCCTGCACTGCCGGCTCTCGAACACCGCCAAAACGCTTACCTGGTTAAATGTGATAAGTGAAGATTGGTGAGAAGTTTTGGACCAATACTTTCTGGAATAACTGGTGACCTGATTGAATAGTTGACTGGTTATCGCAATGCTTGAATAAAATGTATAAATTGTGGCTTGATTTAAGTTCAAAATCTTGCAGAAACTTGTGTCTTGTGTCCGACCTTGCATCAGCAGCCATTTGACATTAGTCATAGATATTTTAAGAGAATGAACTACTATATCGATGCTGCAGAGATACACAGACACACTCCACAGGCCCACACACTCCTTTCTGTGTGGAGAGGCTTTATCTGCTCGGTTGGGACTGTTTCAGCTAGTGGAGGGTTGGGGTGAGTGTGTTTAACTGTGTGTGTGTGGGAGTGAGCGCTGTGCTCTGCAGTCTGTTGGAGCTGTTGGCCCATCCCCCATCCCCGCCGGCTGCCTGGCTGTTTCGTGAGCTCCACTGCTCTACTTTGCCTCCCTGTCATACACATTACACACACACACACACACACACACACACACACACGCACTCTTATCTTACTCACAGAGGAAGTAGTTTACAGTTTGGTGTCCTGCCTATCCATTAAAACTGAGATGTCTACGAGTGCTGTGCTTACAACCTTTTAAGACATTGGTGTTCAAATATAACCTAGAAAACTCTAAAATATGTTCTTGTTAATCTTAAACATGGGTCTTATCAGTCTGCCTTATTCATTTTAGCTCCCGTTTTCAACAGGAAAACAGAAATTAAGGATTTGAGCCAGGCTTTTTAATGATTTGATTCTCTAAAATACACAGCATACTTTTCAAACCCAATGGATTTGTGTTTATTTTACCAATTGAAACTGTTTTCTCAGATGTTGTAGGCTACTGTATCACTTGTTGCGTGATGCTACCTGAAGCTTCCTTGTTGCGATAATAATTGGAACTCTAGCTTTAGCACCTTTCCACTTTTGGCTAAACGGCTGCTGCCAGTGAATGGCAAAGTAAAGGCACTCACAGGTAAAGCAAAGAACTGATGTCTGTTGTGCCGTCCTGCGGAGCTCGACTACCTGTGCAACCTAAATGGGCTGCAGGTACTGCCTCATGCTACCAGTACTGGCAAGGACACTAGCGGAACACAAAACTAGAGAAGAATCAGTCAAGAAGGATATGAGACAGAAATGGTCTGTGGCCAATGCATGAAAAACTATTCCCTTTTTGGGGGTTGTTTTGCTTTTGTTTCCCCCTTTGCACCTGTTGTCACTTTTCATTTCTTGCCAAAGCTGGTGAAATTAATTCTAAATCAGTTGTGCTTCCTAAATGGACAGACTCAATGGTCAGAGTATAACACAAAGTCAGTTATAGTTCAGAGATTTCAGTCTTCCTTTAATCTTTTGTTCCTGAAAAATAGTATCGGAACAACATTTGAGTAAACCATGTTTTACAGACTGAGTTGTTCTATTTGTGATGATGTAAAGCATCATTGTGAAGTGTGTTGTTCCTAAAAAAATAAACATCAATTTTGCAAGCGTGCATTTGTATTGGTTTTGTATGGGAAACACAATGACGGGTAGTGCTGGCTGTAGCCATTGTACTGAAGTTAACAGTGTTTTTTATGCCTGGTTGTAACACACTTTCAACACTCAGGCATTTTGCCCAGCTTACATTTAAGTTCTGCAGTAAAATTTAAGGAGCTGTTGTCCTTCAATATTTTCAAATAAAAAATAAAAGACTTGGAGGCAGATTCCAAAGGATGCCGATGCTTTTAGCTGGACTGCTTGAACTACTGACTCCCCAATGTGACTCACAGATGGTTCTCCTTTAATGCAACATTTAGTGTGTTTGTAAATTGTACTCTGTCTCCCTGTGTGTCTATGACGTCTGTAACTTTGTGTTCTTGCTGCTGCCTGTCTTGGCCAGATCTCCCTTGGAAAAGAGCTTCTTAATCTCAGTGGGTCCAACCCGCTTAGATTAAATAAAAATTAAAAAATACTTGAATGTTAGGTTCTTGGAGAGGCGCTGGTAGCCTAGCCCTTAAGTCTTCCAGAGAGGGCGGCCAGGGTTTGAATCCCATCTGCTGCTCCTCCCCTGCATGTGATTCCCCACTCTGTTTCTGACTCTATCCAATGTCTTATCTCTAAAATAAAGGCATAAAAGTCCAAAAATAAATCCGCTGTCACAGCAGAATCACACAGATAATCCTAGACAAAGCCCAAGAGGAAAGCATAAAACTAAAGAAATTAAGATTGATTGATTTTTGGCCTTCTCCAGATGCTTTCCTATCTCACCCTCCTCCCTTGTTGCTCTGTTTTCTAGATGGTGGTGAAAACCTACATGGACATGGATCAGGACTCTGAGGAGGAGAAGCAGCAGTATCTCTCCCTTGCGCTCCACCTGGCCTCTGAGTTCTTCCTCAGGAACCCCAACAAAGACGCACGGCTACTGGTGGCCTGCTGTCTGGCCGATATCTTCAGGATCTATGCTCCCGAGGCCCCCTACACCTCCCACGACAAACTCAAGGTCAGGAACAGACCCTGGGCCGGTGACGAAGCACTAACCTGAAGGGAACAGTACTTAAAAGCAGTCAAAATGTCCTTCTGTTTGTTACGACTAAATGGACGACTTGTTCACTTACAAGAACATAACAAGACAAAACTCATGTGAATTCTTCCCTATCCTGACGATGTTATGAAGTAAACATTTGATTTTAAGGAGGAAGAGAGACTTTGATATGTTTGTAGATGTAGAAGTATCCAGCAGAACATTAGAGATTTCTAACCTGCTCTGAGTTTTGGCTGACTTTACCAACTCTTGTGACATATTAGATCAAATCCTATTTGTTGAGCGCTTACCTGAAAGGCTTTTTTGAGATTACCTGTACTTACATGAAAATGATTAATTAAATCAAAAGTTAAAAGTGTCATCTCATCTTGTCTCCAGGATATCTTCTTGTTCATCACCAGACAGCTTAAGGGACTTGAGGACACAAAGAGCCCGCAGTTCAACAGATACTTCTACCTGCTGGAGGTAAGGCGCCTTTTAACTGGGAGAAAAAAATAAGAGAGGTAACTTGTGTTTTGGTGATTACGCATCAGGATGCTGATAACTAATGTTTCCTTTGTGTTTCTCTAGAATCTGGCGTGGGTGAAGTCGTACAACATATGTTTTGAGTTGGAGGACTGCAATGAGATTTTCATCCAGCTTTTTAAAACACTATTCTCCGTCATCAAGTAAGACTCTCTGTGAAATCTCTTCATATTATTGACCTCACATTTTGTTCTCTACAGTCTGAATTATCAGACCTGTTTATATAAAAGTGGACATCTCGTACTAAATCTCCTGGTTGTGATTGTTTGAACCGACTGTGATCAAAGTTCTTGTTAAACTCCACTTTTGCATTAGATTTCAAAACAGGCAACCCAGATCTTATGTCTTTGCTGATCTTGTCCTGTACATGCATAAGCAATGTTCTCACAATGAACAGACGGGGGGGGGGGGGCTGGTTTAGCTCTGCTGGTAGAGCATGCACGCCGTGTACAGAGGCTGTGGCCCTCGTAACACTGGTTGCAGGTTGGGACGCCCAAACCTGATGCTGTTTTGTGCATATCACAACTCACTCTCTCTCCCCACATTTCTCATCTATCTTCAGCTGTCCTGTCCAAAGATCTTGTAAATCCTCACAGTATGTTTAAGCTTACAAATCCAAATCCCTCCAAAGTTTAAAAAGTCCCCCCACAGTACGCAAGGAATGAAAGGGTTTGAAAAATAGTGTAAAATGTCAGGACCGTCAAAGCCCTAACTGTCACCTCTCAAAGCTTTAACACATGAAGATTCGCTCCTCTGTACTCCCTTCAAATAGTTTAGCTTACTTTTTTGCTAATCGTCATGATCACAGGTTAAACGGGTACTTTTCTAACACTAGATGTGAATGGGGTCTACACTCAGCGATGATTTGTGATTTTTAGTTTGTTTTTAAAGTTTGTCTTTTGATCTATGAGGTGAGACACTTGAGATTTTAACGCTGCCGTCTCATTGCGTCTTGTTTCTCTTTTTCCACAGTAACAGCCATAACCAGAAGGTGCAGATGCACATGATGGACCTGATGAGTTCCATTATCATGGAGGGAGACGGAGTCACACAGGAGCTCCTGGATACCATCCTCATTAACCTTATTCCTGCACACAAGGTTTACACACACAGACACACACTTTGTGATTTACTGGTTAAATATATAATTATCTACTTTGTTATCCAAGACAGTTTCATCTTCATGGTGATCTATTCTTACCTGTCCTGACCAGTCCCATGTTACTCTGTATTATCGTGTCAAAAACGTGTTTCCCCTCTGAAGAAAACTGTTCAATAAATGAGAAGATTCAGCCTTTTATGTTTCTAAAGATGTGGTATACAGTCGTATTGGATACTGACCTAAATCTTAATGTTTCTGATGTTAACTGTCAGTTTTATTAAAACAGTTTTTAACTTCTCTTTGAACAGAATCTGAACAAGCAGGCGTACGACCTCGCTAAGACTCTGCTGAAGAGGACGGTGCAGACCATAGAGACATGCATTGCTAACGTGAGCAGTTCTTACTTTTGTTCTTGAGCCTTTTTCAACATTACGCACTTTTCTTCTCTACAAATATTGTCTGGAATAATGCATTTGTCTCACAGTGCTTTGTTTCCTTTTTCAGTTCTTCAATCAGGTTTTAGTGATGGGAAAGTCATCAGTCAGCGACCTATCGGAGCACGTCTTCGACCTCATCCAGGAACTGTTTGCCATCGACCCCATGTTGCTAACATCTGTCATGCCACAGCTGGAATTCAAACTCAAGGTACACACAACTCACGCACAGTAACCCTCAGAAAACACATCCAGACGATGCTTTGCTCAAATAAAATATAATTTAGAGAGTAGAATTCATAGGAGGGATGTAACTCTATATTTCTTATATATATTCAATATATATATATTTATATTCAAACGACCAGATTTAAAGGCCTGAACACACTCGAATATTTACTCTCAAGAGTTCACGGTGATGCCAATCCACATGTTAGTTGTCATGGCAACCCGTGCTTTTAACCACGACAGAAAGGAAGTGAAAATTATTTTAGTTTAAAAATGTTTGTTCATTTATTTAATGTGCCATATGGCTTTGTGGAATACGCACATGAACGCTGCTTCACACAGTGTGAGAAACGCTTCACAGCTTCGTCTTTTTTTCCATTTTTGAGAGTGAGGAGGATAAAATAAAAATCTGTTTAGAAAGAGTAAAAACATATATTTTGCATTGTGTGTCCGCAGAGCAACGATGGCGAGGAGCGTCTAGCTGTAGTTCGGCTGCTAGCTAAGTTGTTTGGGGCCAAGGACTCAGAGCTGGCCTCACAGAACCGACCACTGTGGCAGTGCTTCTTAGGACGGTGAGTTACAAGAAGACCACAAGCTAACACACTTACACAGAGCATGTGATGCATTGAGCTAACTGCTTCAACAAAAAACAAGATGCATGCACTTTGTTGTGTGCGAAGTTATCCCATCATCAACAGTTAGAAAACTCATAAATCAAGAGCTAGAATCCCCCTGTTGTTGTTTGGAAACATTTTATTTTTAAAGTCTGGAGATGCTGATACTGATTTTTTTTTTTCTTTTCTAGGTTTAATGACATCCACGTTCCAGTCAGGCTGGAGTGTGTAAAGTTCGCCAGCCACTGCCTCATGAACCACCCCGACCTGGCCCGGGACCTGACAGGTGAGCTTGAACACTCACTGTCGTCTTCGGTCGTCTTCAGTGCTTCTGCTGGAGAGTTTGTTCACACTTCTTCTCCTTGTCATCCATCAGAGTTTTTGAAGGTGCGTTCACATGACCCAGAGGAAGCCATTCGTCATGATGTCATTGTCACCATCATCAACGCCGGGAAGAAAGATCTTAACTTGGTCAATGACCAGCTGTTGGGCTTCGTACGGGAAAGGACCTTAGACAAGAGGGTGAGACAACACACTACTGAATACTTTATCTCATGTATTCTAATTGAAATAACCACTATAATACAAATCGTCCAATCTGGTTCCAGCAGTTTTTAATCACGTCATCCACTTTGATCCCCCGCAGATTCTGAATCCCAATCCCAAATTCTGAATTCCAATTTAACCTGGGTTACTTTTTTAAGACTTAGATTAATGTCAATATAAAATAATGACAAAAATCAAAAAGAGCTTTAAATTAGACACTCTCGAGGTGCTGGATAGCCTAACAGTTATGTTGCACGCCCCATGTATGGTGGCTGTAGTCCTCATCGTAGCGGCTGTTGGTTTCGAATCTGACCTCGGCCCTTTGCTGCATGTCATCCCCCATTTTCTCCTCCCAACATTTCCTGTTTCTCTTCAGCTGTCCTATCTAATAAAGACAAAAAAGGCCCAAAAGAAAATCTATTAGGCACACTGATATCACTTCACAAGTTTAAGAGTATCATAAATAACGTTGTCACAGAGGCGTACTGTGTATCAGTGATCACCTGTTTGAAACTGTTTAATTTTTCCCATGTTGTTAAAATTCTGTCTCTCTTCCTTGTCCTCCCTCCCCCTCTAGTGGCGTGTGCGTAAGGAGGCCATGATGGGCCTGGCTCAGCTTTTTAAGAAATACTGTCTGCACCACGAGGCGGGCAAAGAGTCTGCAGCCAAGATCAGCTGGATCAAAGACAAACTGCTGCACATCTACTATCAGAACAGCATCGATGACAAGTGAGTGTTATTCATGATTTGACTCATACATGATAATAAGAGTTACTAAAGAGAGCAGCAGAGTCCAGTGTTGTTTATGTTCATCTGTGAGATTAAATCATGTGGACTCTAACTTGCATCATGATGTCTGTTTTCACATTATTAATGAACGCTCTGCTCCTCCTCTGAAGGTTATTAGTAGAGAAGATCTTTGCTCAGTACATGGTCCCTCACAGTCTTGACACCGAGGAGAAGATGAAGTGTCTGTACTACCTGTATGCCTGCCTGGACACAAACGCTGTCAAGTAAGTAAACAAACCTGACCTGAAAAGAATCCTATCAAAAAGGGCTTCATAGTGATTGTCCCCTGTGTCCCCCCCTCTCTCGTCTCATCTGTTTCTTGTTGTAACTCATCTTTGCTTTCAGGGCACTGAATGAGATGTGGAAATGTCAGAACATGCTCAGAGGCCTTGTCAAGGAGCTGCTCGACCTCCACAAGCTGCCGGTGGTGAGTTGACGCGCACAGATTTAAGCATCTTCACTGATGTGTTTAAACTCAAGTATCTTTGACATGTTTCTCTCTTATCATCGCTAGTGTGAGGCCAATAACACGGCCATGATGGGGAAGCTGATGTGTATCGCCAGTAAGTCTGAAACCACACAAACTTTTCTTTTTTTTAACCCTCCATCTCCCATCATTTCCTTCCAAATGAAAAAGGTTAATTTGACAAGCATCCTTATTCTCTTTGCTTTGTGCTTCCAGAGAATCTACCAGATGCAGGAAAGGCCCAGGACTTCATGAAGAAGTTCAACCAGGTTCTTGGTGAGGACGAGAAGCTCAGGGTCCAGCTGGAGATGCTCATCAGCCCGACCTGCTCCTGCAAACAGGCTGAGATCTGCGTGGTGAGATACTGAACACACACACACATACACAGACAGCCAGTCTGCGTCTCCCTTTAACACATACTTCAAAGTGTCAACATGTTGCTCACAAAATGATGCCCCTTATGAGTTTGTTTTTGAGTCCATCTTCTGAACTGTCGCAGTGAAAAATCTCAGAGGAGCTTTTTTTTTAAGTCTTGAGTTTTACAAACACAAACCTGTGTAAATGTATCAGGGCTGTGTTGGTTGTCATCTGGTTGTTGATGAAACAGTTAATTGACTTGTGAATTGTAACTTGAACAATTACTTTATTGCTCTAAACCTTTACATTAACAACTCCTTTAAGGTCAAAATAAGGGATTTTCTTTGTGGCTTTGAACATAACTAGTGTTAATGTAAGACGGTTGATGTTGTTTTAATGTGTAGCGTGGTAACTGAAGTAATATAGTCAAAGTTTGCCTCACTGTTCAGTGGTAGGAGTTGAGGAAGAAGAGAAAAAGACTAAGTGTTCTAGGCGGAAAGGGTTCAAGGTGAAGGGCTGAAAATGTGAACGAGGAAAAACTGTCAAACAGCTTGTGTTGCTGAAGCTTCGGACTGGTTTAGTGAATGTCTAAGATGTTTAAGATGGTTGTTTTCTTTTTTTTAAAACATCCTTCACCTTCTCCTCAAATGCTTACACATGACCGACATGCTCCCTTGATGAGCAAGGTTCACTTTACAAATCTTGTAGGCATTTATTTTCTGTGCCGCGTTGAGAGTCAAATGCTCCTGGACTTGATAAGTTGTAGGTACAGATGGTGTTGTATCGGTCGTCACAGTTCTAAGTTTTGTTTACCTGTTGCTTCACAGTAGCTGTTTTGCATACACAACTCTGAGCAGACAAAGTAAGAAAGTAACTCGGCTCTGGAACATGATCATACGTCAGCGCACAGCATGAAACAGAAAAGGAATGATGTCACCAACTAATAATTGACAAATCACCATGAAATGTACTTAGTCATAGATTTTGCCCACAATGTCAATGAACCCTTTCACCCCTAAAAGGCAGATATAGAGGTTGTTATTAATGATGCACTGTTTGTTTGTTTGTTTTTGTGCAGAGGGAGATCACTAGGAAGTTAACATTCCCCAAACAGCCCACCAACCCGTTCCTGGAGATGGTGAAGTTCCTGCTGGAGCGCATCGCCCCCGTGCATATCGACTCCGAGGCCATCAGGTCAGAAACAGTCTGACACACAAACATGTGTTGCTCAATATCATAACAAATCACAAATTAGGCAGATGATTGGTTTGTCAGCCGTAAACGCGTAAGAGATTACACAACTATCCTGGCACAAAATGAATAATTAAAATCGGATTTCAGATTCTGTTTTATTGGATTTGTGTCTCTTGTACATTGGACACAGACTCAGCTGGTCATGAGACAGACCAGCGGCCTGTGTGTTTGACTACCTCACTGATAGAGCAGTACAGACAGCATGAAGCTCTCTATATCATTGTGTAACACCATAAACAGGCTTTTCTCATTCACTGAGACACCTTGTGGTGGTGTGGTGTTCCTGCAGTCCTGAGGCGAGGAACAGGTTTAACCCTTTATGCTTTATGGAAAAACACCATGAAGGAGGAAACACACACAGCGACTGACTCTCCTGCTAAAATAACACAGTGTAACCCTTTGTGTTGTGTCTCATAGAGGCGAATATGTTCTTCTAAAAGTGTTAGTCTTTGTTTAAATCATCTCAAGCTTTGTTGAGTTTAATGACAGAGTGGTGATGATGATTTATATTTTTTTTCTTTAGCGCTCTGGTGAAGCTGCTTAACAAATCCATTGAGGGTACAGCTGATGATGATGAAGAAGGAGTGACCCCCGATACAGCCATCCGCGCTGGTCTGGAGCTACTCAAGGTACACAGCTTGGACCATTTATGATGTCATAATTGGAGGCTAATCACAAAATGTACCATGTGTGATTAGCTGTTAACAGGGGCTTGAAAATGCCAAATAGTGATCCGATTGTGTAAAGCTGGTCTTTGTGTCTGCTGCTTGTAGGTCCTGTCGTTCACCCACCCAACAGCGTTCCACTCTGCAGAAACCTACGAGTCTCTGCTCCAGTGTTTAAAGATGGAGGATGAGAAAGTGGCAGAGGCAGCCATCCAGATCTTCAGGAACACGGGGCAGAAGATTGAAACAGAGCTACAACAGATAAGATCGTAAGGGAAATGACATAAGAGCCATTATTCCTAAACAGTAAAATGTTATGGGGCATGTCTGAGTTCAAAGTGTTGCGTCATGACTCTTCTGGCCGTTTAAATTTAATCTCAAATCAATAAAGGAAGACCAGGTTTTGAACTTTGGCATTAGTAATAATGGCCCACATAATGAAAGAAAGAAATAATCCATTTTGTGTAAGCGTGATGTCTGCTCTCATGTTTCTCCCAGGACTCTGATTCCCGTCCTGCATCAGAAAGCCAAGCGGGGCACACCTCATCAGGCCAAGCAGGCCGTCCACTGTATCCATGCCATCTTCAACAACAAGGAAGTGCAGCTAGCACAGATTTTTGAGGTAGGGGACTGTTTTCTAACTGGATCTATATTGTATTAGAAGTAGTCTGTTTTTATTTTCTTTATCTACCACGTCTTTTATTTTAGTGGGATGCACTCATGTTTTGTTCTTTCATCCCTCAGCCTCTCTCTCGTAGTCTGAACGCTGACGTCCCTGAGCAGCTCATCACTCCCCTCGTGTCCCTGGGCCACATCTCCATGCTGGCTCCAGATCAGTTCGCTTCACCAATGAAGTCCATTGTTGCTAACTTCATCGTCAAGGACTTGCTCATGAACGACAGGGTGCGTGGACATAAAGAACTAAAAAGACTCAGTTTTTCCTCCTATGCTTTTATATTATTTATCTATTGTCAAACATACGCTGTCTTCAATGAAATCATGTTTATGTCGAGAAAGGATCAAGATTGTCTTTTCCCTGTTTGTCTGCAGTCTGTGGGAAACAAGAATGGAAAGCTGTGGTCGGCTGATGAGGAGGTTTCCCCTGAGGTCCTAGCTAAAGTAAGACACTGCATTTGTTTCACCTGTTGCCTCCTGTGATATTCCATTTTTACTTCATGCATACACGTTCATGATCAAGTGTTGATGACGAGATCTGGTGCTTATACTACGAAGCAGGAGTTCATGTTATCGTGGTTACTTGAGGGTTAACGCTGGGATTTCAGTAGTACAAAGATGTGTCACTTCTTAACCTGGATAGATCACCATGGTAACCTGTGCCGCACGCCTAACCTGCTCTGGTGCAGGTGATCTTCGGGATAAGAGCTCAACCTGTATGAAACACTGCCTACCGACCAATCAAATGTCTTGAGAAGGGAGGATGTAGAGAAAGACCGACAAACACTTTCCTGTATGATGAAAGATTGTATTGATGCTTCACAGTTATCCTACAAGAGAGACTAAACAAAACACTGAGGCATTTGACTTTTTACCCCCTTTTAATCCTGTTTTTTCTATTCATTAATATAAGATCCATACTGTTCTGTAAACTGTTGCAGCTGCATCTGAAATATCACGTCTCAAACTGTCACACAAGCCAAATTTGAGTAAATTATTAATTTCAGTAGAAGCCTGAGTTACGTTCAGATCTATCAGGCACAATCCCTCAGTCAGCGATATTTTTCCTCTACCATTTCTTCCTGAATTTCTCGCTGCAGCTGTGTTGAATTTAATCAATTGTGTGTTAAACTTCTTCATGTTTTTTTTAAATCATAGTTTTCTCTGTGTTTGTAAAGTACTAACTGAAGACTTGTTCAGGGTCGTGATAGTTTATATGAAGCTAACGGCACCTCTATTGTGTGATAGCACTCAGAGAAACTATGTGTTGACTTATAACAGTGATAATCAACTCCGTGTGACTGTGAGCTCATCTGTCAGGATTAGTAAAGCCAGATTTTTCTAAAAGATGCTCTGGGTCTGTTGAACTTGCTTCGTGTTATAGCCCCCTCGAGTAAAGCTGATGGGATCGTTCCTAATGATTCGTTGTCATTCTGCCCCCCCAGGTGCAGGCCATCAAGCTGCTTGTGCGTTGGCTACTAGGAATGAAGAACAACCAATCCAAGTCAGCAAACTCAACCCTGCGCCTGCTGTCAGCCATGCTGGTTAGTGAGGGAGACCTCACAGAGCAGAAGAAGATCAGGTAACTGTAGAGCCTGAGAGACAAGCAGCAGAGAAAGAGATAACCTAAGCTGCTTTCATATATGCACCCTTAAAATATTTAGGTAATTTCAGGAGGACTTCTCCTGTTGAATCTTTCTAAATCTTCTCCTCTTTGTAATCCCTCTGTGTGTTTGTTTTTTTCTTCCTCCTCACAGTAAGTCGGACATGTCTCGTCTGCGGCTGGCTGCAGGTGGAGCCATCATGAAGTTGGCCCAGGAGCCCTGTTACCATGACATCATCACACCCGAACAGTTTCAGCTCTGCGGCCTTGTTATAAATGTCAGTCCCTCCTTCACGTCTCACCTTTTTTTAAAAAGCCTTTTCCACAAAAGACAATTTGAAATGTCATAGTTAGAGAAGCTTACATTAAAATAAAAAAGAATTACCAGTAATAATGAATTTCATTTAGCTGCTTTGGGGTCCTGGTATTTTGTGTGCTGGATCGCTGTCAGAATGGAGGCAGTTACTAACAATTTTAGATACGACTGCTTCTACTTTTACAAGTCAAAATGTCTGCTGAGATAAGGCCTGTTGTAATAATCTCAATACAGTGTGTGCACATAAAGACTACAGATTACATGTCAGTAAATTCATTCATGTAAAATATATGAAAGTAAACATTCCAATGAGTCAATAGTTAAATGTAATGCCTCCGTGTCCAACTGCTCTTTATGTACAGGATGAGTGCTACCAGGTCCGTCAGATATATGCTCAGAAGTTGCACCTGGCTCTGGTCAAACTGACGCTGCCCCTCGAGTACCTGGCTGTCTTCGCCCTGTGTGCCAAGGACCCGGTGAAGGAGCGCCGCGCCCACGCCCGACAGTGCCTCCTCAAAAACATCTCTGTTCGCAGAGAATACATCAAACAGAACCCGCTCGCTCAGGGTCAGTGTTAAACTCCGGGCTGTGTTATGGAGCTCTCCAAATGGTCACACTGTCGAAAAAGTTTTCTTGAGCTGCAATTTGATCCCATCAGTCAATCAGAAGTTGATATTTTACATAATTAGGTGTTGAAAACTTGCCCAAGTTTGTTCATTTATTTTCTAAGATTGAACTTTTTTAAACATTCAGGAATACAAACTTGCATGTCCAAGTGAACTAAAGAGATGAAAACTTGTTGACATTAAAAGTGGATTTATCGTCTCTCCTTAGAAAAACTAGTCTCCCTCCTTCCTGAGTATGTTGTTCCCTACATGATCCACCTGCTGGCCCACGACCCAGACTTCACAAAACCACAGGAATATGAACAACTCAAAGACATCAAAGAGTGAGTGCTGACGCTGTGTTCTTGTTCACCGCCCGAGACTAAAACTTGAGTCTGAATATGCGGCTGTGACAAAAAGCCCTTGACTGAGCGTTTGTGTTGTTGTGCTTCTGTGTTCAGGTGCTTGTGGTTTATGCTGGAAGTGTTGATGACCAAGAATGAGAACAACAGTCATGCATTTCTCAGAAAGATGGTGGAGAACATCAAACAGACCAAGGATGCTCAGTGTCCAGATGATATAAAGGCCAACGAGGTACACACACACACACAACTTAAACCTGCCCTGAAAGCAAAGAGACACTTTCCAATTTGATTGTTTCTCTTTAAAGAAAACAGAATGTTGTGCAGGTTGTAGAGTTTTTGTTAAATATGCAAGGTGCCAAATAATCTTAACCCGCGGGTCTTACTGATGGTTTACAGAAGCTGTATGTCGTCTGTGATGTCGCCCTCTTCGTCATCGCCAACAAGAGCACTGCCTGCCACCTGGACTCCCCGAAAGACCCGATCCTACCCTCCAAGTTCTTCATCGTCCAGGACAAGGCAATACAGACATTCTTACTGTGCAGCTGTGTCCTTAGATTCATTCCTCTTGGGAGTTAAAGTGTTTGCACTCTCAGACTTGTGAAGAATACTATTCACTCTCTTAAGTGTCATTTTAAAAATGAAAGTAAACACTCTTATGTATGATATTTGTGCTTATCAAAGCTTATGTGTTTACGTTTCTCTCAGCAGGACTTCAAAAATGATAAGGAGTATCTGTCGACGGAGATGAGACAAAACCTGCTCACTGGAAAGGTGAATGCAAAACACCTGATGCCACCGTGACCGCTGCATGTTTACTGAGCTGTTCACATCATGGAGACGAATTATACACAAAACACTTAGTAGTACACACTATCAACATTAACAATTAAAGTTGTAGCGAGGTCTAATTTGAAGGAGGGGTGGAGAGGATGAATGCTTTACTAGGCTAACATGTTTGAGGAATGTGTACATTACGTTATTGATGCCTCTGAGGAGTATAATGGGTTAGAAGCATTTAATGCAAGTGTTTTTTATTCTCACTAAAAGAGTAATATGGTTTAGTAATGAGCCAAATGGTAAAGCATAGAGGGAGGACTCGCTTTACAGGAAGTTGCAAAGTTGCAACTCTTATGAAGCTCAATCACTGAGTATTTTTATACACAACATAATCCTCAAGTATCTTAACTTCTAAGTGCTGTCTAGCTAAACAACTCTACCTGTCATGCAGCCTAAACCTGCCCCCGTGTTGAGCGCCGTGAATAAGCCTCTGACAGTACCAGGGAGGAGAATCTTCACCAAGACCACACCTGCCTCAGACACAGCGAGTAACACCAGCACCAACTCCTCCCCGCTAAGCTCCTCCACCATCAACAAGAACAGGTACACACACACACTCACTCATGAATTCATCATCATAAGAAAAAACAATGCTCTCTTCATATTGTGTGATTTATTTATTTATTTATTTTTTAAAATGTGTCTTGTGAAAACAGCAATTCTGCCACTGAGTCATCAGAGAGCCCGGCGCAGGAAAACAACGAGAACCCCGTCATCAAGAACGACGAGGGCAAGAAGGTTGGTTCAGACAGGACGAGCAGCTGTGCATCAAACAACACACACACTCTTAAAAAATGTTATCTCAACTGAGCTTTCCTCTCCCGCCTCCCCCAGGTGGAGCCCAGTCAGAACACGACCCCTGACGCCGAGACAGGAGCGGTGCCTGTCAAACGACGCGGCCGTCCACCTAAACCGCCTGCTGCACCTGTCGCCGCTGACAAAGAGGGAGCGCCGGCGCCGGTGGCAACAGCAACAACCGGGGCGGGCAGAGGAAGGAAGAGAATGGCTGATCAATGCTCCAACTCATCTGCAGAGTCAATCAACGCCAAACTGTCAAAACAGCAGAACGACGAAGGGACAAAGAGACAGATTGACTTGCAGAGGTGAGAGAGGAGAGAGAGACCCAGGAAGAGGACACATGGGTTGATAAATGATAGAGGAGACGGTTACGAGAGAATTTGTGATAGTGATGCTTTTAGCTCTTTTTTCTCGTCATCCCTCAGGTGTTAACTTTCTTCTTTTCAGGTGGCTATTTGTGAGCAGGGAGATTAAAGAAGTGAGCAAGTGTGTTCCCGGAGAGGACACAGAGAGAGCTGTAGGGTCAGTCGGCCTCCTCCTGGGCAGTGAAGGCGACACTGAGATAGAGCTGGAGTCCAGCCCTGAGGGTGTCACCTGTGGCAGTGAGGACAGAGAGCGTTCCCCCCAGAGAGATACAGAGAAGTCTACAAGGAGAGCAGCTCTTTCTGACAGGCAGGGAGAGCCCAGCAGTGGTGACAGGGAGGGCAAGCTGGCAGTGAGTTGGATAAGAACTGGATTTGTCTAAAAACAGACCTTCCTGCTACACAATGTGTTAAGCCTTTCTGATATATATGGTGCTTTCACACTTTCACAAAACTCCTGAAAAGTCCCTGAAATGTTCAGCAGCATTCATGAAAAGGCAAAATTTTGCATCATAGCGACAAATAGCGGACTCTGGGCCAGATTTACTAAACTCCCAATTAAAGAGTACTACATTGTGTGTTCACTCCAAAAGTTTGCACGTTTGGTTGGTGGGCGTTTTGCGGGTGATCTACTAAGAAAATTTGCAAAACAGGTGCAAACCTTGTGGAGGCGGTAATATTTAAATTAGGCTTTTGCGTGTTCTACTGGTTTACATCACGGAGCGTTTGGACAGAAAGCAGGATGACAGCAAACGCAAAACATGTGTTAGTGGGAGAGGCAAATAAACGCACAATACTTTTGAGTTATCGGAGATAAATCTGAATTTTACAAAGAAAATTTTGGTTATAAGAAAACCTCGGCATTAGGCAGGGCCTCTCTTTTCTTCCCTTAATCTTAAGAATGAAGTGTCATACATCGCGCAGGAGGTGTGAGCTGTCTCCTCTGTGGACCGGACGCTCTACACTCGCCGTTGTTGCGCACCAGACAGCTGGCCAGCGCTGTGTCTGATCCGACATAAATGCCTGGAAAGAGATATCGAAGACGGGGGTACAAACAGTGGTGAGGTCCCCCAATCAAAGCGTCCTACAGAGCAGCAGCAGCTTTGGAGGGAGGAGACGCACGCACTATGGAGAGGAGCGCACCGGAGGGGGCGAGCTGGGGGAGAGACGCACGACCCGAGAAAAAGGAAATCCCCAGTTTAAAATATAATGTTGGTGAAAAGAGGGAAATAGGACGACATAAATGTCAATGTTGAAATTCTATAGAATGCAGAGGCTGTGAATGTTCAGTTTTCTTTGGCTGCAGGCTATGGCAACAATAGCCTGTAGTTTAATTATGGTGTTCCTCTTCCTTAACGATTAGAATATTGAATCAAATTAAAAAATAAATGCATGCCATTTGAAACATGTAAACACATCTTTATGCCTTCTTTTGTTGTGCCTATGTCTCCTCCTAACTATAATAACAGCAGCCTGTTGTGTGTAACACTGGTCTCCTGGGTTAGCACGTTCCTTTCAAAGGTGTTAAATACAGACACCGTCACAATCACCGCAATTTTTGTCAGGTTTGGTAAATCACAATGCGTGTACTAACTTGTTTGCATTTTCTCCTCCCAGTATTTTGCACGTTCAGGCAGAAACAGCCCATATTGCATATTCATCAAGTCAAACGTACTAAATGGTCAATGTGTGTTGTTTTGCTCATTTGAAAGACGGAATCCTCACTGCACGCCGTTAGTAGATCAGATAGCACACAGTTTTTGCTGGTGGTATCAAGTTTGCACCCGTTTTAAGACACGCAAACCTTTAGTAAATCTGGCCCTATGTAGCTTAGTTTGCGACTTCAACCTTGTTATTGTTACTCCGAGTGCTTTGTTGTGATTCTTGTGTTTTTAACTGTTTGGGTTGTAACATTTTGACAGAACAGGCAGGTGATGATGCTGACGCTGATTTCAAACTTTGTGTTTCAGGTAAAGAGGAAACCGGTGAAGGGGAAATCAAGACAGTAGATGAAATGGGCCAGACACTTCCTCGTACCTTCCCGACCGTGCTCACATGCTCTCTCCGACCTTTAAAGCTTTCCTGGACACGTTATGGACCTTTCTTAAAACACACACACGTACACACACACATAACAAACACACACCACTGATATCCTAGAAGGTTTTAAATACCTTAGTCTTGATTTGAAGCTCATTGTATGTAGGTCTTACTTTAAAAAAAAAAAAAAACATGTTATTTTTTTTCCTTTGTGTTTGTTGCTCTTTGCTTCTTTTGTGGAGCCATTTTTAAGAAAAACAAAAAACAGGATGGACATTTTACAAACGTTTTAATCTGGTTATGATTGTTGCTTATTAAATTCCCTGGGAAAAAATCCTACTGTACGTGTCCTGACCTCTTCCTCCTTGTGTCTCTCACTCTTTTCTTTTCTTTTTGTCACACCTTTATTTGTAAATACCTATATGCTATGCTACCTTGCAGCTAAACCTTTTGGAATATCCAGGATCATTAAAAGTTGCAGCAGATGGGTCAAATAAAGGAAAAACAAAGTGTAAGATTTGTGCATTTATGAAATATATACTGGCACCTGAAGTTTAGGAAGTGTGGTACGTTAGCTTTGTAATACCATTAAAAGGCCAGATAGAAACTCTGATATCTGAATCCTGAACTGCGATGATTGGAGTATTTTATTTCCTCTTCCCGTCACATTATTCTGGACACCATCCAGTCTCCTTACTGGTCAGGGACTCTGAAATCCAGTTGAGCACTGGCGAAGTGTGAGACCGATCTTCACCTTGGAAAGCTTAGACGATATATTGTTACAGAAGTAGATGTTCAGGTTTTTGTTCTACCATATATATTTTTTGTACTTGTTTTGGTTGGCCGTAGTCTGCTTTTAAAAATCGAGACTGGAAAACTTTCAGGTTTCTATTGATGAATTATTTTTGATTTCGTTAAGTTTGCCTTTTCTCTTGATCATATTTAACTTTTTTTTTTTCCAGAAAAATAAAATGATTTTAGATGTTACGATGCAGTGCATTTTTCTTGATCAAGTGTTGAAAGTGCAGTTTAAGGAAAAAAAAAAGAAAGACGACACCTCTGGTCGACTTAATTTTCCACTTTTTTTAATCAAAGAAACATGACACTGTCACAATAAATAACCATGCTTTTTTTTATACTGCTGATGCTTGCTTCCAAGGAAACAAAAGAGGAAAAAAAAAAGTCTCAATCCAAAGGGAGAAACCGAGATGCAACAGCCCCCTTGTTTTTATGCTTCGTCGTCGTGCAATATTGTACATAGAACACCAGGAAGACGGGGAGGAGGGGGCTTCTCTTCCTTTTTTTGTCCTTTCTTTTTATTACAAAATATAGATCCAGCCATCAATGGTGCGCTCTAGTGATAAAGAGACGGTTCTTTAAGAACCCGACTATTTACAAGTAAAGGAGACTGTGGACCCCTAACTATGAGTTTTGTCTGAGGGGGGGGGTTTGGGGGCTTTGGCTGGAAACAGTTCACCACCAGTGGAGAAGGTGCACGTTCTCTGTGTAGTAACTGTAATGAGGGCAAAGCAAAAGGAAGAGAGTTTCAAAAATAAAAAAGGCCATGTGTTAGGATGAATCCAAACCCCACTTCTCCATATGCAGAGCGTTTCTTTACAGTCCATGTACCTCAGATCAAAATGAGCGAGGCCTGCTATCTGCTTCAAAGACCAACAGAGGAGTTCCAGCCCCTTTTTTTTTTTTTTTTTTTAACTCATCAAGCATCACATTGATCTTTTTTTGGCTGTGTAGTAAAGCATGTCTGGATATATAGGGCATCACCTACACACCTCTTTATATGGCCAAAGGTTTGATTGAGATCTGCGTGATCGGATCAGTAGTCTGTGATGAAGCCCCCACTTTTTAAATAATCAACATCAGGATTATGAGGGACAGCAGATCCTTAATCTGCGGCTGAAAATAGCGCGCACATGGATGAAAGCGATTGTTCTGAAAATGAGTTAAAACAAAACCACAGCATCACAAAAAAAAAAAAAAAATCAATGGCATTCAGAATCACTTATTTCTTCCTTGAGGTCGGTTATCTCCTGTGCAGAGCGGAGGAGAACGTTTTCCAGCAGACACGGCTCGTTAAGTCGACAGAAAAAGGCTTTGGTTCCCCACGAGTATGAAGCCAAACTGGGTGTGCTTTAAAGCGGAGGATTCCTGGAGTCTCTTTCTTTCCACAGGTTCACAGAAGAGTCCTGCGGGCTCCACGAGCCGAGGGGGAACGTTAAATCTAGCAGACGCCCCATCACCACATCATTTGGCCAAATACAACAAAAGGCAGCGTAGAACATGCAAGGACGACACAAAAGACACGAGAAAAAGGTTGGATTGTGGTGTAGCAGAAAAGGTAGCATGTGGTGACCCTCTTAGCCTCTTAACAGCCATCTTCACCAAAGCATCAAAAAGAAAAAGAAGATTTCATTTGGAGCGATTTCTCCTGGGTTCACAAACGCATTTAAAGATATTTCTCCGTCTTACTTGTAAACTAGGCATAGTTTATATTTAAAATAACTTTGTTTTACAATGCAATGTAAGAAAAAAAGAAGTATATCCCCGTTGTATTTTCAAATGTACACGCATCTATTTACAGATAACTTTTTCCTTCTGTGCATGTGTGCAGCTGTTAAGAAGATGTGTGATCTCTGATTCTTTAAATCCACCACCACCCCTCTGCTGTGGACTGAAACATCGACTAATAACTGATCAGGAGCTATCCAACACACTGCTCTAGGCGCGTCAATAAAGTCCAGCCAGACCGTACAAGTATTTGATGTCCATAACAGATCTAACTGGTTGTTGAAGGGAGTAAATAGTGATTTGATGAGAGACCAGTATTCAGGACGCCCTTTACATTTTTACCCTGGAAAACCCAACAGGCAGTGGCAGTTATCCGATTCTCTGCGTTATTGAGAAACAGACATTTCAGAGATAAGGGAGAAAACACTTCAGAGCAAGTATGATTGAAGAGGAATGGAAGACCAAGATGCATGACTGAAAGTTTGAAGTGAATTTTTACACAGTTTGAGTTAGTAGCAGAGAAAGACTCTTAGTGGACAGATGGGGGTGAGACAGGCAACAGGGGGTGGTGTGCTGCTAATTTGAAGATTGTAGGGCTGTCGGTGTTTGAGTTTGTAGCAAAACAAACTTGTTTCGAGAAGAAGGCTCAGACTGCTGTGGTGAATCAGGGGGGGGAGTGGGTTTGTCTGCGTAACAAAAAGGCAATGGTGTGGATGGTGCCGAGGGGGAGCTGATGCTATGATGAAGGATCCTCACACCTGGCTGGGATTCAGTTGCTGAGCAGCAGCTCTGTCGCTGTTTCCACATCCCAGGATTTTGAAGACAAGGCTGCTATTACTGCATTCTGAGAGAGGGAGGGAGGGAGGGAGGGGGGGGTGGAAAGGGAGTTGAAAAAAATTGGATTGCAAGTTTAAAATCAAGCTAAAGCGCTACAATTGATTTTAAGAAATGGGTACAATATAATGAATACAAAATGATAAACCCTAAACACCACAGAAATGAAGAATGTCACCAATTATCATTCTGACCTTCTGGCAAGCATGCGGTCAGAAAACTAGCTATCTATGACTCTTTCCGTTAGAACTTTTGGGAAACACACACTGCCAATCACTGGTCGCTAGAGTCCTACGTCTAAATGTCTGATTAAAACCAGCCTCAAAAAGCCTCAAAGACATTCAGTTTACAATCACAGAAAATCAAGTAAAACTGAAAATATTATCATTTCAGAAGTTGGAATCAGAGAATCTGGTATTGAACTATAAGGCAAATTTATTATGACAGCAACAAACAATTCATTGACTAACTAAAGTGTTGCCCTCGTATTGTTTTTTTGGGCAATCAGTTGTTTTAGCTCTACCATCAAACAAACAAACATCCCCACTCTGTCGTCAGACATCATGCAGGCATGTTCAACATCAAAGTACAACAAAACAAAAAATGTCTCTGACCTTATCGAAGCCCATGGCACAGAGTTTGTCTATTTTGCGAGTGTAGTCTGGACTGGATACAGGAGCGCCTGCGTACACGTGAGACCACAGCCGCGCAGTCTGTTTGAACATTTCTGGGTTCTGCTTGTACTGAGGGTGCAAAGAGGAAAAAAAAGAGACATACTGCCATTACTGACCACAAATGAGGAAAGAAAACACATTTTAAGAAGTTTAATAACTCCAAAAGTTCCTTTGTTTAAAAAGAAAGACGACAACAAACTTCTCACCTGGTTTGCTACGACAGCATCCTGTGGATCATCTGGTTCTGCTGCAGCGAGGAGAGCCTGTAGAGACAACAGCACCGTCCGGAGGGTCATAGCAGCCGCCCTGTGGGGGGGGGGAGCGAGGTTTTAAAAGGTGGAGCAGAAAAGGGTCACTCGAGTTTGACGCCCCGTGTAGGGAGGGACATGCAAGAACAATGTGAGGACAGAAGCTCAGGAACATTTCACTCACCACTGGTCTTTTAAAATGTCCAGACAGATCGCTCCTGTCACAGAACTGATATTAGGATGCCAGATCTTAGTGATGAAACGCACCTAAGAAAGCACGGAGTCAGAGAGACAAACAAGGGCATGGTTACAGAGAAATGGGAGGCAAGTGTGGGTTAGACTTTTATATGTAAAAAAAAAACTTAGGATAACACAAAGCTGTAAACCATCTCAGATTTTTATACAGGTTCAAAAGTGAAAGTTGTCACTGTGACATGAACTCTGGGCAGTATTACAGACCTATAAACTAAAGTGCCTGATGTTTATATATCATGTGTTAAAGTCAAAATGAGAAAAGCCTTTCTGTTTCTCATCTGGTTTTTAATACACTTCTCACTATAAGGTTAAACGGATAGATGGTCGTATGTGACTCATGTCCCTACGAGTCTGACTGTATCCAGGGTTTCTTAATTGTCTGTGTGCATGGCATCTTTTTGATTCCTGAACTTTTTTTTGTAGCTCTCTTGATCATTTATTTCTGTACTGACTTGCTGTACATCATCAGTTTGGGGGAAAACAAAGTTATTTTCTGGCTGCCTGCACTTGAATTAACCTTTTCCATCGGTACACTTGAATCAAAGACGTGGGCAAAAAGACAGTTTACCCTTTGTATTGTCAGTGCTGGACTAACTTGTTTTAGCTCACAGATTGTTACAGCATCATTCATCTTTATAAAGTCTCCATTGCATACAGCAGAGAATCATCAAACCCAGAATATTTTCACTGCTAAGCTAAAGCCTGACTGACATGTCTTGATGGTTTCGCTGGGCTGATAGCAGTCTATCACTTATACACTGGTATGGGTTTAAATAGTTTGGTATGGATGGTATTGAACTAATATAGTATTCAGACACGATGCTGACGATGACGAGTGTAAACCAAGCCTATGTTAAATACTCCCACTTGTCAACCTTTGCACAGTCCAATGGGTAAAAAAATGTTATTGCACAATCAATGTTTATAGATCCATTTTTGTTCCTGCACAAAAGGGACAGTACTGATCGTAATATCACTAGTCTGTTTTGGGTTTTTTTGGCCTGGTTTGGTTTCAGTATCTGTCTCAAAATCCCCATATCATCAGGTACTTCCCAAAACCGTAGTGCTAACCAGAA